TGAATGAATGAATGAATGAATGAATGAAAAAATGAATTTTTCTTAGAATCACTTTTTGTGTATCTCTGTACTCTTCTTCCATGTATGAAGACTGTTTGACATCTTTTTGAGTTACGTGAAGTGAACGGTGCACTTTTTCAAACATTAAAAATTGACCAAGCATTTCTAGACAAGTGAGGGCGCCTTTGCTTTGATTTAAATCCAGGAAGACATGATTCAGGTTGCATGTTTTCATGTGCAAAGTGTGAATCCCAAATTTGCTATCTGGGAACATTTCTGTGAAAAGGATTTTTGCTGGATTATTGCCATATACTTACACAGCAATAAATTGCCAAAGAAAGTAAAATCTGCCATAGCAGTGGTTAAAAAATCTAACAATTTTCTGTGCACAAACCAGTACAACATTGTGATTCAGTACCCTGGATGACATCAGAGTTTTGCTCACGAATATGCAAATATTCATTCGCATAAAACTAAAAAGCATCAAAATATGGGTTAAAACTGCAAAACAAACATGTAATTCGGGTTAATTGAAACCTAAAGATGCAATTTCAAGGGGTTTTTAGTAAAATTTATGACAATATTTCTATTTCCTGGTTCCTTTAAAGTATTTTCAGGGCTTTTTTTATAAGCACAAGAGAATATTTCTACAATTTACAAATTGTCAGTTGTACTAGGAAAAATTATTTTGGAAAAATTATTTTGGAAAAAACACTATATTTTTTAACCAACGGTCTTGATTTTGAAGGCCATTCATTTAAGTTTATTATCGTTAACTGAAAAAGATAGGCACTGACCACTCTTTTCTGAAGACTAAGAAGTCGCTGAACTCTGAATACCAAAACGTCCTCCTTCCTTGTCAGAAGGTAGAGCAGATGACAGACATGAGGACACTAGGGATAGCAAACAGACAAAGACTTCAAACTCTGAATACCAAAATATCCTCCCTCCTTGTCAGAAGGTGGAGCAGACAATAGACATGAGGACACTCCGGTTGAAAAACAGACACAAACTTTAAATTACCAGCATATAGTTAGCTGCTGGAAAATTGTCTGTGGTTGACTGACCAAAGGATTCTAAAACAATCCACCTGCTGGATTAATACACATCTTCTGCATCCAATTAGTGAACAGGTTGGTCTGGAAACCTGTAAGAGATTTGTGTTCCTATTGTCACATAATGCAGGGAATGCTACATAGAGCAGAAAGACAACATGCATGTAGAAACAAAACTTACACACCAACGTTTCCATCCATACACTTTCAGATTCAGATCAGGATAACTAGAGTTATGTTTACCTTCACCAAATCATTACCTCAGCATATTCAGGGCTCTGTGATTTCAAGTACATGCATGTGGGATCTTGAGACAACCGCTACATAAACTATACAGCTTTGACAGAGTTGTATCAAGTTGTATAAGGTTCTTACCAATGCATCATTCTCAATGAAATGGAAAACAACTCCATAGAGTGCATGGAGGTTGTCTAGCCCATCTAACAGGTCATAGGTCAGAATCATCCACCTCAGCAGTAGGCTCTAAGGTAGAAACAATCAATCAGCACTATCAATAAACTATCAATCATTTATGACCCAATACATTGAAATCAGGAATAATTCGCAAATTGACTTTTTGAGATACGAACATGGTCAGAGAGAGAATTTCATAAGCTTTCAAATGGTATGTCACACTTCCAAAATATGCAGAAAATGCTACATCGATTATTTTAACATTTACGCACATTTCCACTTTACTCGGCAATTACATAAAATAGCCTCAGCGGCTTATTCCCAATTACGATGTACCGGGTCACATATTGTCACTGATACTTTACAATATTCACCCAAAACTGGCAACCCTATGGTTTCTCAAGCCCTTAAAAGGTAATTTGGATTGGTGATAAACAGTGTTGCAGATGAGACCATCACAAGACCAGACACAAGTAACGGTGTGAACAATGACAAAGGAACACTTCATTTAAATAGCTTGTGACTGGAATTCTGACTACAGGTCTTGTCTTGGTCTTGTGAAGGTCTTAAGTGGTCTAGACAATAACACTGGTGGTATGTGCCAGTCGCTGACCATTTTGAAGTCAGTACATGTATTTCAATGATGTGAGGAAATTACTAATGGTTCCCTCTTTGAAAGAAGTGAATAACGCTACCTGTATTTCATTGGAAGGTCTGTTGGTACACATCCAGGAAATGGCTTTGACCATTGCATCCTGGGGGATCTTATCTGATGGAAGAAGACTCTTCACAAGACGAGAACTGATTGAATCCGCTGATCAAAAACAAACAAATTGTCAAATGGTGTACAAATTCTATCAAAAAAACAATCTGACAGCAAAGTGGTTTAAATACATGACCGTGGGTAACTTTCAGACACTTTTATCATGCTTCATGGGGATGTGTTCCCACAAAAACTTCAGTCAACTTATTCCAGGATTTAAATAAATAAATAAGGATGAACCACTTTAACTTTTAACTAAGGTCAGTTTTGAAGTGCATTCACTTCACAGTTAAAGAACATCTCAGTAGATATTTTCACTCTTAAATTTGTGTAAAGTTGCTATACGAAGTTTTTACACAGTACTCACGAAACTTTGCAGATGCTGCAACATCGACAAGTTGACCTATGACCTCTGGGGACAATCCTTCCTTCTTTGCGGTAGTCTCCACCATCTGAATGGCCAATGTCAAGAAAGTGTTCCCACGGACCTTTCTATTAGATGATTCTAAACAGAAAAAACAGCCAAAAGCATGTTCACAACTCTTTGAAGATCTTGTTTTACCGTCTCTTCCAGCAAATATTATATATTAAATGAGGGCTGAATTGTATTGTATTTAAATTAACAAATGTGGAATCCAAACTATGCGAGTAAAGCATTCTCACAATTTGTCAAATGAACGGATCACTCCTTTCTGACCAAGTATGCATTAATATAAGTACATGTACTTTCAAATCTGTGTCATAGTTACCACTTGTAAAGAACCTGGTGGCATCTCTGATGGAGTAACTTCCTGAATTCTCAGCTGATTTGTCTTTGCCGCCAGTGCTCTGTCTACTTGGAGATTTATGTTTTGTAACTGGGGTTGCCATAGTTAGATAGGACTGAAGTGACAAAATCCAAAATGAATATTCGCAACCTGTGATGTTTGCAGCCAGCTGTGTAGGTAAAAGAAAACATGACAGGAAAGATTAAGAGGCATGGTGAATAAAAATAACAACGAAACCAGAGACAGGAACTTCCCCTGGGCCACAGTAAAGTAGATTACGCCCATCAGATGTGAGCAATCTCAGAAGAATAGGAAAATGGACAAGAAACTTGGAAAATATGAATACGACCATATGACCATGATGATGTGATGATCAAGATGAAGAATTTTCTCTCTTAAACCTTGTTTGGTAAGACTTCCACATATGGACATCACTTAACTCCCTTTGCAGTGGTTTATAAGCTAGCCTATCAGAAAGTGACACATCTCAGTCAAATTTAGCAGTGGAAATAATTTGAAGCATGATTTAGGCCTATGTACAGAATCTGGTAGACCAGTCTCATAGGGTTTGTAACTCTTTCCCTCTGGGTTAAAACAATACTGATTTTGATGACATGTTTTCTCTGGACGAGAGTGTACGAAATGTTGTCAACACTTATTTACACTTTCTTATCCTTTGCATGTCGGAAATAGACATCCTCTACATGTACTCAAGTGAGTCTGAACGGGTAACGCCAAAACCAGTTGTAATAGTCACAGTTAGCGACACTTATTACAGTATTTCACGCCACTGCTCCTTCCAAATTAACCCATATTTAAGATTTACTTAACTAGGACTGTTAGGAGTCGAAATGAGAAACATTTTGAACAGACGTTGTGAAAACAAGCAAAATTTCTCAACTGAATTATTTAACCATACTTACGTTAACGGTGTATTATCAGGCGCGGAACTATCGTTGATGAGAGAGCGCCCTCATGTTCATCCGACTACAATTAGCAGAAAATAATGATTTTTCACCTTCAACAATGAGAATTCGATGCGCCCACCTACTTCGTAAAACTAAAGTCGCTTATAACACCAAATGTTAGTACTAAATGACAGCTTTGTGATTCCATGGCAACTTTAATTATCTGAAAGGGACTTACTGTAAAACCCTTTAGGGTTTTTTATATTGAAAAGCACACTTCACGTTTAACAGTAGGCCCTAATATTAGAGGCTTTATCCTTCGGCTGTTCAAAATAATCGACGTTCTAATTTATTACTGAATGGCAACCATAATTTTGATTCAGTCTTACTTATTCCATAAAACAATTAATTCGGTAGTAAAAGTATTTGCCTACCAGAAGCTAAAAGTGACTGTAAAAGTCTTTTATTTCAATCTGTCAAACTAAACAAATCCACAAAGAAAAATTATACTAAATACGACAATGGTTCCCATGATGTTAACACCACGTAAACATCTCAAGCTTTCCAGTTTCACCTTCTTTCCTTTATGATGAAACGACGCAAGTGTTCCCTTGTTAGGTCAGTTTTCGTTTCTTGAAGTGAAACTTTGCCACTTCTAACCCTGTGAATATCCTCTATTGTCACGATGCTTGTGCATCCTTCTGACCAGGATACCGTCACCCGTTGGCGCCAAGGTTTGGTCAATGTCTTAGGCAGTTGTTTATGTTTAGAAGGCAATGATGGAAGGGGAAAGGAAGACGTCTTGCTAATAAGCGATGAACCACCTTGACAATCATCATCAACTTCGTCTTTTCGCTTGACGATGGGTAGTTTCATTCCCACTTTAGTAAACTTCGCCTTCATCTCATCTTCTGGCTTTTTATGAACTTCAGACAATTCTCGATGTGGTCCTTGTAACTTCTTGGTAAAATTAATCTTCCTGAAAACATCGCCTGTACCGTTCTCGTGATAGGATCTCCCACCTACATAGCCTGAAGACACACCTCTATTATCGCTACTGACCAAAACGCTCGTGTCATCAGGTTTAGAGGAAGATGTCGCTTTATCCTTCACCATGGCAACAGCGTTCAGGGCGGATGCTATGTGTTCCTTCGCCTCTTCCAGTTTCTTGTATAAGTAATCTGGTTCTCGTTGGTTCAAGGTTTTTGCATTGCTAGAACACACAGCATGTTTCGTATCTCCATCTCTATGCTTCGTAATCCCATACTCACCATACCACATTGAGCTATTGACTTGGCTCGGTGTGAGGCACGAGTTTTCATGAGTAGTCATTTCATCTAATTCTTATGAAGAACCTTAATTTTTCAGGAAATATTCCTCTGTACCCGATTGCGTACTAACCTTGAGACTTGATTTTTTTAATCAATTGTGGTCCTGTGTCATTTCCTCTGCATACAGAAAAGTCAAACGATATTCATGCAATTAAGCTTACTGACAGTCCGACACCATCACCAGAGGCACTAATCGACAAAAGTGTCACACAACGGGCTGCAAATGCTCAGTATAACCCTGGAACACTTGTCAGTTTGTAAGCGTACGTCTCCATTCAGGGCCTACCAGGCCTGCAAAGAAAAACAGAACAACAGAGATTGAAACAGGCCTATATGCTCAGCACGATGCAATTTAGAAACAGGAGAGGAAAGAAAAGAAAAATAATTTTACCACATTTTGAGATCACCTCTTATTTCCCCAGCTTTGACGGAATCTTCGCAAAGCGCAGGTTTCTGGAGTCAATCAAGCATGAAACGATGTGGAAAAATCTAAAAACAAAAATAGTGTTTGCATTAAAAAAGCATCCACTTTCGAAAAGAATGCATAAATTGTTTGACACTTCGAGTCTTAAACTGCTTTCTCTCAATTCATACCACATGTTATTAATGACCAAAGCCAAACATTCCTATTCCTAAACTTCAAATAAATGCTCACCGATATCTATAAATAAAGGTAGTCTTTTTTCAACTTACCAGACTAGACTACAAAAACGATACGTTTGCCGTCAGGTAAAACAACTGCACTGTACAGTAGCGTAATATAGCCCTGCTAATTATTTGGCATTGCTGACAAGCTTTATTTTTAGCCAAGTACGAACACGGATGCAATCGAGATGGCCTTAAGTAAACACGAAGCGCCAATCATCAACCCCTTGGATAAGCATTGGTGGATCGGCTCAACAGTCGAGGGGGGAGTCAGAAAAAAGATAAGCACAAAATGGTAGCTCTTTTCTGTACTCCAAGAAAAGAGATATTGCATGGTGCTTACCGCAAGCTTTCCATCTTAGTCCAAGAACAATGTTAACTAGGTAGTTGTGATTACAATATGAGGAATGTTTTCCATGTTTTCGGGCATTCTGCATTTTTATCTTAACCCATTCTCAGTGAAACCATGGTCAAAGGCATCCTTAATCATTGCCTGTAGCGTTTCCTTTTGAATTTCTTTCTTTGCTCTCTGTTTGTTTATCGTTTGGTTTTGTATTTCATTAAAAGCTTCTAAACAGTCACAGTCACAGCATCAATATCAATTGAACAGACATGAACACAATGCAGTAACATGCAGCATCCATTATCTTATTGCGACGGTTTCTGCTTAGCAAATACATTATTTAAAGGCTACTTTACAGTCAACACCGTGAACATTGTACCCTTCACATTACATTCCGAAGGCTCCTAACAACCCAACGAGACATTTTATCTGCGTATCATTGCAACCACGAGTAAGCAATATGGGCTTTGTTCAAACACTCGGAGATATGAATTGGGAACTGAAGAGAAACAAGGTAAACAAACAAAGGCCAAGGGTCACCATAAAAACAAGAATTAATGGTAATTGTAAGGTCCGCATTAAAATCAGAGGTAGTGGTCGGGTGGTTTCCTCCCTCGTTTACAACTTCCCAACGACAGCGAGTATGCGTTTGAGATTGGGCGTGGTGGAGGGGGGCATTACGTTTCTGCAGTAGATGACAAAACAGAGCCAAGCAGCGCGTGAGACAACAAGTTTTTTGGAGCTCCTGAATATAGGGTTAGAGGTTGGAATCCAGCAATTGGCTATATGTTTCGACCTTGAGGGATTTGCCTCACCCCTTACATCCGTGAGTATAACTGGAAGAAATGGTTGTTTTATTTTGGTCAACTGTGCTCGCCTACAATGCCTGCGTCTAGCAATACTCCACAAGGGCTAAAGATGATGATGTCGCGCCCTGAACATCAGCGCACTCATGGATACATGGGCGAGGTATAACACACATTAAATGAAGGAAATCATTCCCTGAACCCCCATCTCGCTTTCAATGTCTTGTGAATTTCCTTAAAAAGTTTGACAAAAAGTGAAATCTAAGTGGACTATCTGTCGATTTCAGGCGAACAAAATTACATTATATTTCTCATTCCGCAATGGTACTTGCTGTTAAATGTTTGACTGCCGATATTTATATCCATGTTTTCATGGCAAACGGAAGTTAGAGCGTCGCATCCTTACTTCAGTAATGTTATTTGTTATATACACGCACACACAAATTGAAATGCAAAAAGAAAATGAGTATTTTCAATTTGTCAGCTCTACGCCAGGTGGGAAACTAATTTATTTTGATGTAACCTGCCGCCTTACAATCCAGATCTAATTTTACCAACAAAAGGCATGATGATTGGGAAGGATAAAGGGTCCGTGACTTGACTCTTGAACTTTGATTTTGAAATCGAGCTGAACTATTTTACGATGTTTTTAGCAACACTATTTAATATTTTTCATTAAAACTTAGCGATGCATTGCAACTTTGCCGCTAGAAATGTTTCATAAGGTGTTCTGCACTCATTTAATTGTTTCTAGAAAAACTAAATGGTTAAAATTGTATTTGAATTTTCTTGTAATTTTGTTTCCGAATCTTCAGTTAATGTGACCACATCTTTTAATATGAGATGAAGAAATCTTAGTTCAATGGAACTCTTGGTTCAAATCCTGCCAGTTTCAGTCAAATGCTGCACACAATGTGACATCAAAACAGTCTTTTCGGCCACAGATTAATAAATATATCGTGTTTCTTAATAGAATTATACATTCACTGTATTGCAGTTGAATTACCGTTTAAACAATATTTGTCGATTTCTTTATCAATATTTGTAAAGTCTTGTTACATGTTGTCTTCTCGCTGAGTGTTCCTCGTGCACTTGCTTATCTTAGTTCGTCTGATCAGTTGCCATCTTCTGACAGCCTCGATTTCAGGGAAGCTTCCATTTTGGTTTGATGGATGTTTATTACCACGGTAACGGATGTTACTAGGTTCATTGTTGTGTTCTTGATTACTGAACGAATTCAAGGTTTTCTGGCACGTGACTCCGCACCCATTAACCTTGTTCATCTTTCTGAGGTGTTTTCGGTGAGCTTCCTTTTTCTTCTCTTTCCTTCGTCCATCATCCAACTTTTCGTTCCGTTTATTCTCTGTTGTAGATGTCCATTTTGATGGAGTCCCTTTCTCCCAGGGGAACGATTCTTTAGGATACAACAAATCACTGAACTCAGTCACTACGTCGGGGTCAGGGTCACTAATTTGACTCCGTCTTCTTTCAAGTTCGTCTCCATCGGTACTTGGGACGTTTCCATCTTGACTTACCACAGATGCAAAATATCTCTCAGGAGATAGGTTGGTGTCTAGTGGTGAGTTTGAGAGACCATCAGCATTGGCGGTATTTTTCTCAAAAGTGGGGCTGCCTTTCGGGGCGGAGCTCAACTCCACAGAGGGAGGATTATCATAAGAGGTTGATTCAAATCGGGGGCAGATATCCAGTGGACTTTCAACGGTTGCCGGAGATGAGGAAGGTTCTGTTTCCATGGCAACATTCCCCGGATTTCCTGAACTAAAATGTGGCAGTTTGCTTCGCGGGGTTTCTGAACTGTCAGAGTTTCTCGTAGGTCCATTGCTGGGTAATTTAATATTAAACGGATCTGGTCTTCTGAAGTTTGCAGTTTCTCCATGATTGTTGTGAATTTCAATGTGATAATCAATAAGAGTCAGTGGCAACGGGACGTCTTCCGAATCTTTCGTATTTGTCTCAAGAACAGCTGCCAAGTCAACAGGTGATGAAACAGGCCCTCTGAATGTCCCTCTCAGACGTGTTTCTCGTCTTATCTCTGCCTCAGCTCTTACCACTAGTTCCTGTAAGCAGAACGTTGGGTATTGCGGAGTCGGAGTTTTTGCCTTCTTTTTCTTCTTTTTCCTACTTCTGTACTGGGACATTTCCAGCGAATTTCCCGCTCCATCAACCTGTGCAGCGCAGCCTTGTTGAGGTCGCAGTGATAGTAGCCGTTTTGGCATTACCTTGTTGGTTAAAGGATGCGACTTGGCGGGTTGATTTGTGGGTGAATGGTCTCCCATTATCGGACGGACAGTATGTTTTCCAGCCAGGATAAACTCCCTGACTCTGTCCGAGGCCTGGTCAAGGTATCTCTGTTCCTCTGAGATGAGTCGATGCCGAAGATTGTGGACTCTTTCTCGGCATCTTAGTTGGTTGTTGAAGGCCACAAGATATCGAGCGTACCACGAGGGGTACATACCGAGTCCTGCTGGTTGTGCCGGAGTAGACATCGTACTTTGTTCACCTGAACATCGACATGGTCTTGTATGAGCTGTGCCATCATGTCGCGCTCTTATATCAATAAACAACAGCCAACATTCTCACATTTCAAGTATGATTGTCGGTGTGCTAATGGTCGTTTGAACAAGTTCAACGTCGTGCGATGTTGCACTTTTCTTAATGGGCTCGTGTTACTACGAGGGGATTAAGAGGACGCCATGTGTGGCTCCCATGGTAACTGAACTTGCGTATAAGCTTTAGTGACACTAAGGCAGGTTGTGTCATGGGGCGGGACTTTTAGACGTATCGTTCAGTCGTCGCTGAATGCTCAATATCATCCGTTTTACGACGGTCGTGCTATTAATGTTAGTTTCAAAGTGTGTCAACTTAATACTCAAAAAGAGACTGTCATAGCAATAACAAACAGACACACACCCCAACAAACAAACAAGAGCACAGGACTTTGGCTCAAAACCGTTGACTCTGTGGATACTGAAACAAATGGTGTGACAAGTAGGACAGTAAAAGGGCAATTGCTACCACTATGCCCTGATTATATCCCCCAGGAGACGTGTTGCCCCCCTGAAAAGAATTGAAAGTGTCAAGTTTATAGAAAAGGCCTACCACCTTTCTTGTTGGGGGCAGGATTCTTTTACGGATAAAAAATTGGACAGTCGTCTTTGAAAGGAATTCCATTTTGCCCCCCCCTCCCCGCCAACCTGGATAAGATACTGAGTTGAAGTTCTTGATAACATAAAAATTGAACAAGTGGAGATCTGTATTAAATGGACAAACAGCTGGGTGTTGAGACTACACTTTGATAAAGGGCACAGGGCAGATGGGTTAGCAAGATCAGTCTCGTCCAAAGGTTAAAACTTGGCAAATACTGAAGCATGGAAACAGACGTCTCACATTTCAAATTATTAATTCCAGTCATAGCAATCCGTCACCTGCAAACACATCGGGCTTCTTGATTTAGCTTGTCAATCATTCCACTCAAGGTCTAGTCTTCAATTCGAAAAACTGATCAGCATTCATTGGATAAACGGACGGATGGATCAACAAGACCAAATGGTATAATCTTTCAACAAAAATTAACCCAAAGTGCTAACAGTTTTCTTTATCCTGCATGCATGCAGCATCGGAAAAACATACTTAGTCTTGCACTATATATGTATTTTAAGATCTTTTCAACAGGACTGCAATGTCTTGCAGATATTACGGGAGATTACAGGTTAATGGGCCAGTTCAGTATTTCAAAAGCCAAGGTCTCTTGGGAACCAAATGCGCGCAGGTCAGCGTATGGCAGCGGTGATAGGACTTACTATCGCGCGCGCATACATGTTATTGTACTGAGCATGCGCTGTTGGAATACTGAACTGGCTGATTTTTGGTAATCTTGGATGATTATTCAATTTGTAACACATAGCCAAAAAAATAGCATTTCTGATTTAGGACGACAGATCCCATAATTTGCCACCCTGATTTCGATTCGAATTTCATTAAAACCACTAACCAGGAAACAACAGGTTCGGCTAATGACAGAATGCCCTATACAAAAAAGGCGGATATTACATAAACCAGTTACAGTCTTGCTCTTATGATGGGTTATTCTGAGCAGACACTTTAACGCATTCAGCCATGCTGCAGAAGAGAAAGCCAGGAAGCAAATGGTGAAAACAGTCGAACAGGGAGCCAGACTGACACTTCGACCGATTTGTAACGCAATAGCTCCCCTTGTGTACCCCCAACGACGGTGAAATTTAATTCCAGCCACATCGGATCAGCAATCAGTACGGTTTAATTAAAGGAGACTCGCGGTTTAAACCAATCACTGCAACTGCTATCGTATACCGTGTTCACGAATCACTTAGGGTCGTGTTCAAAATTCGGATGTCACGTCATCGGCTCTAGCTATAGGCAGCACAGGCCGGAGCTCAAGGCTTGTTTGTCAGAGATGTTAATCGAGAGCTGGTAATTGAAGATGAGCTTCGACATTAAAGGACGACAGTAGTTCCATCCTGACGGAGCATCCGACAACACGCGTTGCAGGCCCATAAAGGTTCTACGCTCAGCAAGTACGTTATGTATCTGCGTCTTCAGTCGGCTTCTAGAATTTTCGTCTGCAGTTCACGTATTTATGCCTCATGCATTAGGTAGGCCTATGTGAAATAATATGTTGCATGTTTTGAAAAATTTTAATAATTGAGAAGTGTGTGTGTGTGGTTGATAACTGGCTATTCACGACATGCATTTGTCACGTTATGCTAAATTTCCATATTACGTATTATGAGTCAATTTTATTTTCAAAATTTACAGAATAATTTACGCACAAATAAAAGCATTTCATCATGCGCAAAAGCAATCCAGAATATTCACAGATACAAATACACCACACTCTCCGTTTCTTTGTGGATCAAAATAGCGCCATGATGCGTTGATGCTACGTGCGGCCATTGTAAAGATATGTTAATGATCTCCTAGATAAAATGTGACGGGTGTGCATTACGGCATTTCATGGCAAGGAAATCTAGTTACAGGTAACATTTTAGACTCACGCCCTGCCTTTCTTCAATACATGGAGCCTACATTTATATTAGACACTGGGAAACAAGAAAAATACAGCGCATATCACACAGGTATTGCTTCACAAAAAAAATTACTTCGAACCATCACGTCACGTGATTTGGGTCTTTGTTACACCCTAAGTACTGCTCTCCCATTTGCTTTACCTGTAGATTGTATATATTGAACGCAGGTCATTATACGCTGACACGCATTGGTTTGTAACGGCTGGCTGTTGACGGATAAAGGCGCCTTTCCATAATTTTTATGTACTTTTTGGGGTGCGTTGCGTACACGATGCGTTCATGCGTTTCATTTCACAGACATAAAAATCGACTTCATTAACATAACACGCGTGCGTTGCGTTTGGAAGTCAAAAGCGCCTGAGAGCGATTTTGACGGATACGCAACGCTTGGCGCAAGTGCTGACGCGCATATGGAAAGGCTTCATAAGGCGATATCTGCGACATCTTCTGACATTTAGCAATATTACACACGTGCAGCCTCAGTTGTACATGACACTGTCGCATCGTAAAATCTGGGAACTATGTCTTGATAACCAGGTCGTCAGGTGTGCAATTCTAATGTTGACTCGTGAAAATAAAATGTAGCAGTTACTGATTAGCTAGACGCGAACAACTTTTACTGTCAGCCTGCTGGATTTTTTCTTTCAGGATCAATGACTTGGTTGGTTCAGTGTGTGGTGTATTTGTTGCTATGGCAACCTCACCTTAGCGACAAACCGACGTTGTCAGCTTGCTCATTTTGTGATTTTTCCAAGGACCATTTGTGGATACAGAAAACTGATGTGTTGAGAGGAGATGTAGTTTCTTCCTTTTTTTTCGTTATGGCGAAAGAAATAATGGGGACGCCAAATTCACCACCTGACGAGCTCAGATTTTAGGCGGACTCATTTCTTCCAAAACTGGATATTTACCAATCAACTCAAGTCTTTTTATTTCAAGTCAAAAACTAAACAAATATTTCTTCCAACTTATATTGACGATTTGTGCAGACGTACTTTACCAATCAACTCAACTTTTTTTTATTTCAAGTCAAAAATTAAACAAGTTGGTCGTTTTCAAGTTCTTATTTTTATTTAAGAAATGGAGATGAACAAGAAAGCACTTTAAAACTACCAATGTTTTTATTTTACACGCACTGACTTTTTAAATATTTTTTTCAATGTGTGCTGTGTCTATTTTTCTCAATACATCAGGTTTTGATACGGTCAATTTATATCCCTCAAAAATAAAGATAAAAATTTATCAACATCTGTCTGCAGACGAACGCTCCCCGTCCGGAAATTAGTCTCCAAATTTAAAAAAAAAAGTGAGAGAGACGCGTGACTATACGCACACGTGGGTCGTGCATGCAGACTCTTTTGATAGCGCGCTTAGAAGTCTCCTGGGAAATCAAATTCTTCTTATTCTCGTTCATAATTAGCAAGGATCGTTGACAATAGTTTGTATCCACGGGGAAGCCACGTTTTATCTTGTTTCTGAATTTATCATAATCAATGGAATCTGTTAAATTGGGTGGTGCCAGACTATTTTGGGATTCCAAACCTCACTTTCATTTGTTTGTGGGTTAAAACATTTAGATATAATTTATCAAATTTTGAATTATTCTAAACAAAAGCTGTCATAAATTTACTCTCAGGTTCCCAAACTGAAACGTTTAACCCCACTTCAATCGAGCCTGAAAGTAAAAGGTCACGCAGCGAGCTTCCGGAACCCGCGCGCGGTCCTCCTGTGGGGATTTCACATTGAGCCGTCCTTTCACGTTCGATAATTTTGGAAAAATAATTCCTTACTGAAATCACCCAATGAAACATTCATGTTGGAATTTTACCTTTGTCTTCCTTAAGTAATGTTTTGGAAAAGTCACCTGGAGATGGGTAAAAAACGAATTTAATAACGACCTTTCACTTCCGGCGATATCGTACCTAGGTCACCTTGCTCATTCACGTTTGTTTTCACTCGCCCTGCTTTCTTGGAAACGAGAATATACAACCTTGCAAAGATTTCCCTACTTGCAGTCAATGGGTTCCAGATTCCGTTGAGTTGACATCACGCGGTTGTTGTCAGCAAAGGTTAGATAAACTATCAGAATCTTTCGTAAAAGTAGAATATTGCTTCACGTTTATTACCTTATGAAATATTAAAATTTGTAAAGTATTTTGATCTGTTTTATTTTGGTTTTTACCCACAGACTATCATAAAATTTCAAACCGTAAATATTCATTTGCGTACGAGACTACCTTATTGAATTGTTTTTCATGTATTTTAGATTTTCGGAAGTGATGGGTCAATTTTTGGCAGGATATTTCTCTTTTAGGTCAGGTAATTTTTCAGTTTCTATAAATTGATATACTGGCAAATATTTTTCAAAGCCCTTTTTCCAAGTTGGGTTTTTTTAAGAAGAAACTGAACGAAAAAAAATTATACAAATTCTAAAATCTTTCCACGTTATTTTTCCAATCCAAGGGTTCCGGAAGCGCGCCATCAGGGGTCAACTTTCAGGCTTTATTCAAGATGGCCGACACATAAATACAGTCTTTTCTTCAAGACACATAATTGGGATATTTTGTAGATATGCTCAAGTGCACTTTCCTTCTGTTAATATGACCTGTGAAAAGGTTATGCTATAGTGTACATAAATTATGCATGATCAGTTTCTACATCGTCAGCAGCATGATGCCAATCAAACTTGTCATTCTAGAGAAATCAATAAAGATGACACAATCCACTACGGTGTCTGAGATGTATTGTTAAATTATACTTAGATTTTATAATTCCTTAGAGGTTTCGATTCCACAACCTATATAAACAAATCAGAAATAGCAGCAGGATGAAGATAAATAAAAGCATTCAAGGATATACTGTTAAGATTGATAGTCATATTTACATAACAAACTTTGCAAAGGAACATCTAGGTTTTGTTGGTTGGTCCGAACGATTATCCCACAATCGATACATTTCCTCAATATTACTGCTTAATCCTGTCTACAATAGGATTCAATCCGCTGCGCTTTAAATAGGTCTAGCTCCATAAACAGCTAACCCCACGAGAAGAGTTGATAATCCTAGCCCAGTACTGACTAGCAAATTCACATAGAAAAGGCACTTGCGTGTGGACCGACACAAATACGGACATTTCCAGGCAAGGATGCGACGAGACTGCAGAAGCTGAAATGAAAAACAAACATTACTTCTAAAAGGAAAATGTGTCAAACAAAACCTCCCTGCCTCGGTGACGGCGTGTATCCATCACTAATGATGGCATATTCTATAGTCAACGGATATTAAAACGACTGTGCTGATTACACGAGCTCATATGAGGACACTCGTTCCCATGGTAAAGTGATACCTATCCGGGATTGGTTTGCGTCTTTCTGATGACGAGAAATCTCTTACACATCTAATGGTAAATGCACGAAGGAACAGAGGCCAAAGGATATTTTCATCATCTTGAAGCATTCAATTTGTGCTTTCAGCACGGTGCGGACTGTTTGTGCGCGCACCGTCGTCCAGTAAAATGCACCGCTTTTTTCCTAACAAGACTAACGAGCTGATGCACTCCTCGTGTCGTCAAGGAAACGACTACTGCCACTGTAATGACATAAGTAATGGACCAAACCTTTGGTTACATCAACAACTAGCAGTCTAGCAGCGCTGATGATGCCAAACAGTTTAAGTGCAATTTTTTTTATTTGTTGAAAAATAACAATGCTTTCCAATTCAAAATGGTAAATCTTTAAAAAAGTTTAAGTTAATCTTCGTATGCACTCCGTATGCACAAAGTCACTTTTACCCGATTAAAAATGAACCTAAACAAAAATCTTTTCACCAAACCTCTATCGCGTCTTCTTACCCACCTCATAAATAAAATTGCCAACCCATCGAATGCAGTTCGAAATCGTCCCTAGGGCTGCGTTCGAATTATTTGGCTATGGCTTGAAATTATACACGACTCTATGGGAACTGGCCGTGGCCACTACCATAGGCTTGTGCGTAATTTCAGGCCACGGCCCAGTAATTCGGACACGGCCTAAATCTGTTTTCAACAGGTTGTGGATTCCATACATAATTCTGCCCAGTTGGAGACAAATGAATCATGGGTTGTGGCTCAAGTCGCGTCGAGAACTCTCGGTTCCGTCAGACATATGGGGAACCTAGCGAATTCGACACCTGTTCTTCTGTGGTGTCTGCGGCACGGGATACCAGAGGGGAACCAGACGGCAGGGAAGGCCTTTCCTCGCCTGGTGAGAATGTTTCTATTGTCTATTCATTCTGTTTGTCTTTTCGATGAGTGTCTTTCCTCACTGCAGTGATTTTAATCTCTGTCTGTCGGGCTATCTGTCTGTCTGTCGGGCTATCTGCCAGTGTGTCGGTCTTTCCGTCGGCCAATCTCGTCTTTGAAGCATCTCTGTAGGTTAACAAGACTGCACCGAGGACCTGCATGCGCCTCATTCTGTTACTTGCTGTGAGCTCTTTCTTTCTTGTTGTTTGTATTTCACTATTGTCATAACAGCAAGCGCGGATCCAAGGGGAGGGCGGTGGGGGTCACTCCCCCGCCCTGACACCGACACGAAGTAGCAATAACAGTAATTTCTTCTCCAAAAAAAGATGATACCAACGTGAATAAATGTAAGCGCAGCAGTAACCGTGTCAGGCTGTACATATTTCCGCCTGTCCGCAACAAATTACAATCGGTCTGAAAAGGTCTGAAAAGACCCGGACTCCTGGACAAATTTCTTTGATCTGTACCCTGAACAGTTCAGCAGACTTTGTACATGCACTTTTGTTCAGAATGTGTTTCTTCCTTCTTCCAACAGCACCCAAAGAAATCCTCAACGAATACAGTAACCGTATCTCCAATTTTGCTCCCCGAGAGCGGCTGAGCTCTCTGCCCAGTCGTAAATCAGCCACGCGCTCTGTTGCCTCTAAGACCAGATCAAATCCGATCCGAACAGACTCCGACTTCAACGAATTGACAGAGCCGAAAGACAACGAAGACGATTCGATGGCAGGCGGAGATAATGCGATGGGAAAGCAGGCAGCAGCTTCGATTGGAGATTCTGGGGACTTCCTGACCGCAAGCTAACCTCCCCTGGGTAGCTCACTGTCAAAAGATCAGTCAAGGCGGTAGGTTCGGACCTTGCACTCTGCAGCTACATGTACGCGAACTCACTTCGTGAACCAAAGTATGAACCGTGGTATGGAGTCACGTTTAACCAGCCAAACCAAGACGACGCTTGCGGTTGAAGGCTTTGACTAAATTAAGTATGGAATTCTGGGAACAGAAATTCCATGACTAGGCCTACACTGAACGACTTCGTCGTCCAAAGAAACTTTAATTTCTGCAGTGCGGTGTGTTATAAAAAATCTCTCCAGAACGAACTTTGAAAACGTTGTAAAACAGCTGTTGATGTTTCACTCAGCCGTTTGCTGGTCTGGAAATTATCAGTATACAGCTCAATGTCTGCAAAAAGATGTCTGACTTCTACAGATCGATTGACTATAACATCGAATGGTGCGATAAATTGCGGCTCATAAATTTACAAACGCGTTCACTTTACCCATCGATCGCCATGTTGGTTTCGATATTAAGAAACCCGTCATGTCTTATCACTTTGTAATTTCACACGTGTGAACTGCGCCAACGGGTCTTGCACGGATCGCATAGTTTAGTATGTGCAGTATAATGCATTCAGACCTAGAAGACGGAATACTGTACAGGAGCGATGGTTGGTTGCGATGAAAGCTTCAAATTAATGTTACACATCGCCATTTACAAACACGAGGTATGCACTTGATATTGTATAGCATTTGATGCGCAATATGTGGCAAAGGGGGACCCCCTCTATTGTGTCTTCTTACGTGTTGATGGAATCTTTGCAATTCCTTTCAGATTTCCGGGGGAGGGGGGCAATCTTTGAGATTCGTTTCAGATTTCCGAGGGGGGGGGTACAGTAGGCACAATGGCCTTAGGGCATAGAGCTTTTACATCACATGGGGTCCCCCTTTGCCACATATTGTGCTGGATATATTGTATAGCATCGCCAGAACTGTTACGTTCGTTTTTACAGCTTGAAGTTCACTGTCGTAAAATCTTTGTGCAAATAATTATCATCACAAGAGTACTAAGTAAACTATTGTTCCTCATAATTTCTGTTTGTCTTTCCTTATAACACAATGAAAATGCAGGAAATGTTTGAGACAGTTTTCAGATGTTCTACTTCTTGAATAAACCACATTTTACGTGCATTGAAAGCTTGATCAAAATACTGTGCCTTTGCCCATACAATAGTGATGACATGAACGTCTTTTCGAAAGCTGTCAAGCCGGTGTCTTTAATACCGATAATTTCTTCTTCGTGGATTGTCACTGGTAAAACAATTTGATATAAAATTTATAAAATACTTAGCTCAGGACAATGTTCTTAATTGCCTTTTACTGACGTATGTAAAGTTCAGCATTACTAAGATATCGTTTTATTTTCACTCAACGTCCTCAATTATTTAGAACCCTAAACTGGAGTATTTTACAGCATTATAAGAAGTCAGTGTTTTCATTCATTGAGTGTGTTAGTGTAGTGAAGAAAGAAATGATGGGTTGTGTTCGATGTCATCACAGAGAACGCTACATTTCAAGAACACGTTTCTTGATCCAGCTCCACGAAACATCACAATGGATACACAAGTAATGGGACGACTATGAGAATTAGAAAACTGCTATAATTAATGATTATAAAAGTACTAGATGAGTCGAGCGTACACTTAACTCAGTTTACTCAGGCAATAAACGAAGTTGCCTCAAGCTGCCTCAATCGTTACCATAGAAACGGTTCGGTTCGACAAAAAAGAGGTCGGCTTCGTAGGCGTAGTTGGCAAATTTAATGACGTTGCTGAGATGTAGCAATCCGATTGCTGCTACAGAAACACAAAGGCATGATTGAATTAAGCACCATACTTACGCAAGGTGCATCAACGTAACATGCGATTCGGGAGTGCCCCCGAGGTGGTTACAAAACACGACATGCATAAAATTTGCACAAGGGGGAGAAACTCAACGCTAACTTTATGTGAGCCTTGGTCTTATTCAAGGTTCCCCTGCGGATTCAAATGTCTGAGGTAGCCCATCTCATTCATTTTAGTAACCACCATAAACCTGGGGGTTGGGGGGTGGTACAATATTGCCACCCCATGAAAAAAAACAAGCAGAAATCAAAGAAAACTAAACAATCCGAGAATTCGGTGCAATATTGTGGAACCTAGCAATTGTTGTAAAGGACAGTTTAATCGAAAAAGGAACTTGATTCAGAGTACATGCATGTGTAAATACACCCTGCAAGGAACTTTCGAAATCGTCGGCAACATCCATGTTTCCTGCGGGTACCCTGATTTTGTCATAAGGTTTGAATACCTTATGCTCATCACCCCAGAGATATTCTGGTCCTATTTAGATTTCCGTTCAAATATTCCACGTCAGAAGGTTCTGGTTATCCCAGAATAAAGTGCAATTTGGGCATTACCGTTTACGGACTTTCCTGAAATATTAGTCATTTGTCAGGACAAGGTAAGTAAATGTAACATGAGGTGCACAACAGAGATGAAAAGACACTTCTAAATAACACACAAAATCCCATACAATTCCGTAATCAGTGACAAATATGGAACCAGCCTTCATTACTAGACGTTAATATACCCAAATGCACCCACAAAACACATCTATAACCGAAAACCAGAAGGATTTGTTCCATGTTACAAGTGAATTTGTTTTTCTGGTCTTTCCATACTATGAACCTTCCAACAGGCAGATTTTTAAATATAAAGGAGACTTTTTTGCTAAATTGCTATGTGAAATGAGTATACATGCACGTTTTGTGATATTTGTCGCTCCCTGCCTTCGGGATAAAATGTGTGGATTTACATTGTAATTGTTACATTTCAAGTATTTTACTGGAATGGCAGTTTGTAATGAATATTTACAACCACAAAAAAATTCAATGGCAAAAAACGGCATTTTTTGTATCTATGAGATGTTCCTCATTCTCATAAAAAAACAAGAGTCACTTTGCCATCCATATCATCCCATATGATATGGATCATCTCTCATATCATCTACTAGGGTGCAGACAGTAACATTTCTTGCCCTTTTCTGTTTTGTCACATGCTGGAAGATCAAGCCCTCAATTGACACTAACACTTCAAAAGACAGACTCTCCATACATAGATCAAAGGACCATTTAAAAACTCAATTTCTTTCATATTCATCATAAGTATGTTTCAATCTGAACCAACTAATGAAGGAGAACACTGAAAAAGTTAATATGAAATAAATCAGACTTATTGTTTCACTGTATCTGTGTATTTATCATTCTATGAATGCTTGTGATAAATTTCATGTCCTGGTAAAAAAATTAAGTTTATCAGCTTACTGGAAATAAATATTTATATTTTTGTTAAAGATCTGTGGGAATCAATCTTTTCTTGGTTTTGGATTATTGATATTTTTGTGTCAAAAAAGATATCAACTGAATCATGCAATAATAAATCGCAACATTAACTGCAATTTATGGTGTTAAATGAGAATTTAAAAAACCCAAACAGGTATTAATACCCATTACAAGAGATCAAATCAATTAACATGATACTGTTATCACTGACCAACAAGCTTATTCTTGGATCTATCCTAATTATCTGGCGAGTTCATATAACCTAGACAGCCTGAGGGATTCTAGACTGATATCAATCATTATCAGTTATACCCTTGACCTCACATGGCCCCCCCAGCACAGACATTAGAACACTGATGCATCGTATCCGAGAAGCAAAATGAGTATACCTTGGTGACAATTTAAGGAAAATACATGGAAACTTTGACAGTGAATATTGTGGGTTTGGCAATTGACTCTCTGTTGCCATGACGCCTGGAGAGAAGCCATGATGTTGAAGAATTCTGCCCAAGGACACAAATACTGGGTCCTAAGGATGGATAGGACTCCTCCACCTAACCAGTGAACTATGAATCAAACTGTCCACTGAAGGCTACCTCTCAGGTTACATACTGATTGTTAAGAAGGTTTGCGTTAAGAGCTCATACTATGTTTGTTGTTATGCTGGGACAAAAGTAATCCAGTGAGTGGATGATCATGTGAATCTTCAAGATGTTCTAATTTGTGTTCCTTTCATCAATCATTATCCTCCATCTCCACCTCAATGTCAAGACTTGTTGATGTGTCATCTTTCAATGGTATCATCATACCTTCCTTTGGAGCGGAAGGAGATGTCACGTCACACATGTCAATACTGGCTCCTGCAACATGGTACAACATTGCATTAACCGCTCTATGAAAAGTCTGTCCTTAGTGGCAAAAATACCAAACACAACTTTAAATGTATGGCCATATCCAAATTAACTGGCTATGGGCAGCAGTATAACACTCGTTTATGGCAAATGACTGTCAGTCCCAATAACTGTCAGCCCAACTAGCTGTCAGCCCAACAGCCTAACTAGCTGTCAGCCCGAAAAGCTGTCCACCCAAATGGCTGTCAGCCCAAATTACTTTCAGCTGGTAGGTAATGGCTTCCATAAGCACCTGTACTGCTTCTAGCCACGACAGCAACATTCTGGTTCAGTCATAACATTTATCCCTTCTCTTTCTAGAACAAGTGACCAGGAGTATTCCAATTTGTACTTACCATCACTTGAGGATGTTTCTAAGATGAACAGTTCAATGGCTCTAGCTAGCATAGTTTCTGAAAACACATAGCGTCTACCAAGCCCAAGCGCCTGGGACAGAAAAAAATCAGAAGAACATGTGGGTTAAAAATGAAACGGTATTCACTGATTGTTGAAAAAAATTAAAAATCTTTTTAGAAATTTGTGACAATGTCTGGACCAAAGCTCCACTTTGAATCACCAACTCCAAGTCTACAACACACAAATCCAACATTGGATTATGATTACGGGCTAAGTCAACCCTAGTTATGCCTTGACTAAGCCTCACCTTGTGGAAGTAGTCAATAGCCATAGCGAAGTCTCCCATCAGTGTATACACATAACCAATGGCTGAGTAGGATGAGGGGCTATGTGGGCAGAGAACCAACGCTTGACGATGGAACTCCAAGGCTTGCTCATATTTCCTGTGACAATAATGATAAAGAGAGAAGTGAGGCTATTAAAATAAACAGAGGCTTTGCATGAAAGCCATCTTGAAGGGCTGTTCTGATCCACAGGAAAACCTCCTTTGTTCATACCCTTTGGAGAAACAAAAACACTGGCCTGCAAGATGGCAGCCATGCAAACCCTCCATTGGAGGAGAAAAATGGTGTAATATATTAACTCCTATTACACTTCATGCAGACAGCTGGATGTTACTTCCATGCCCTCTGCATACTATTTTTAAAAGTAACCCCTCTACAACATTAAAAGAAATTTAAAGATAATGTCAACTTACTTTAATTTCCTGCAGACATGGCCAAGGTTGTTCAGCAATGGCTCCCATTTTTCTGGTATGTCTTGGGTTCCCAAGGTATGTACAACAGCCAAAGCCTTCATGAAGTATTGCTCAGCTTGATCCCAGCTGAAAATTAATCAAGCATCATTTACTTTATCATGGAAATCCACAAACGTTCAACTCTATTTACACATATATAACACAATTTTATCTCCCCATATTAGTAACAACTCTCGGATCTGTTCAAAACACTTGACCTTTTGTTTTTTCATAGTATAAGTACAACTCCACCTTGTTGTGAATATCCCTGGCCGGATCTGCAGTTAAGTGGGTTAAGGATTAACCAATTACCAGGTGTAATCAAACAGGTGTAAATCGATGAACTCACTCTCCATTATGGAATTCCACCACGCCCATCTCATGCAGCACAAATGGATCACTAGGAGCTATGGCTAAGGCTTGATCAAAGAACTTCTCTGCCAGTTTGAAATTCTTGGTGAGACCATACTCCAAACCAACAAACAAGAGAGGAAGATGGCATCTACACGTCAAAATAAAAAAATTGAAGTCAACAAGAAAAAACTGTACGTGGGAGAACTCCTACATGGCCAAACCAATCGTATAAAAAAGTGACACCACCACTAACTTACATAAACACCCCAAGAATCTATTAAAATGATGGAAATGGAGACACGGTGAGAGACAGAAAGTCAGTATGACAACCAGACAGGACACATAACAGCCACACAGACAGCGTGATAGACTGACTGACAGACATACCCCTTCATGAGTTGTGATGCAGTGAAGTAAGCAGCCATAGCCTGGTCATGCTCTCCTTCCGCAGCAAAGGAGTGACCAAATGCTAACCAGGCTGGACCATACAACCTGTCCAGTGTTGTGGCTTTACTGTCAAGAGAAGGCAATGGAGTACATTAGCTACTTTCATATAAGATCACTTATTCATACGAATGCATAAAAGCTGTGGCCTGTGACATTAAGACAGGCACTGAAATCAGGAAGCATACTGAACAGTGACAAGTGCTTTGCGTGGATGAGACACCTGAATATGTAGGCAAGATTTCAAGACTTCCAGTCAGAGAAAAAGAAAGTTTTCATAAAAGACTCTTAGAAAAAATACAACATACAGTGTGCCCAACAAACAAAATTGCAAATTACTAACAAGGTAATACACTGCAACTGAGCTTTAAAGGAAGGAATGTCTCTCAAGTTGGTCATGTTTGTGTTGGTTTGGACTGTTCCCTCGGAGTATTAGCATTCCATGAAAACACCCCCCCATCACAGGAATGTCTTTTGTGCATAGACTTCTCTGAAACAGCATTCTGATTGGAATGATGTATTCCCAGTGGAACGGCCATCTATTCTAGCATGAGAACAGGTTGTTCAAAGCAAAATGTTCTGACTGTGTGGAACCATGTGATGCTCCTTTACCTGAAGAATCTCCTTGCTGAGTCATTCTTGCCTACTAAGTAGTAGTAACATCCTACAGCAAACCACGATATTGGTCTGCTGGGGTACAGATCAACCAGTTTATGTGCAAGGTAAAATAAATCTGTCAAGAGAAAAAAAAAGCAAGCTGTAAATCAGTACGATAAAACACCAACAAATTTCAAAGTTCAAAAGCGACAAATTCATTGTAATTCTAAAATGAAAATATGAACTTCACATGCTGAATGGAATACTTCAGTGAAAATTAACATCTGTAGGAAACCATTGTTACAAGAAGTGTTTACAGGTTAGTCTGATTCTAAGCCGGATTCTTCAATACAGCTTACCATTTGATTTCCTAAGTTCTACCAGTGTGGCAATATGCAGTGGCAGACATGCTTCATGATATGGATCTTTATTCAACACTCTGTAAAAACGTGAAATTATGTTTGATCAGTCAAAACGGGAGAAACAATATGCGCAACTATAATATGGTTGATTACAGAGTCTCTAACATGACTAAGGTATGCCTAAATTTCAACCTAAATTTATTATCTTCTTTTCAAAGCAGATTGAAATGTCAAGAGAATGAAATAAGTTATGTTTGTTATTCTTTCAAATTGAATGTCATTGTCTTACTCGGTGGTGATTTTATGACAGGTCCTGAAGTCACAGTTATAGTAATGTCTCTCCGCTAGGCATGTCACCACATCTGAGTTGTTTTTGAGTGGTTCCAAGCAAGGCAGTAAACTGGTGACAGCCGGTTTATCATACTAGAAAAACATAACAATGAGAAGTTTTGATTAGTGATGGATTGCAATCACAAGTGAAATCATGAACAGAAAAGATATGAACATGGGACGCATGAGGAGTACCAAACACTGACAACGTTGAGGTTTCCTGTACATGTACTAGGCTTTATCTCAACCAAAAATAGAGAGTACAAATGAGTAGTTTGTGACTAGAACGTAATAAGTCATAAAACTGAAACTAAAGCATAATCCAGAAGACATTACAACTTGACAAGGACAGTATGAAAGAAGACTGAAAACTAGGAAATGAAGGAACTTTTAAGGAACTCACTTTCTTGAGGATGGTTTCATAGACACTTTTAACAACCTCTAGCTCTGCTAACCGACAGTTTTTATTCAAAGGAAGAGACTCCAACAAGGCCCTCTCTGTATGAAGGAAACAAACAACGGAATTAATGAGATAAATATATCCAACAAAGCCAACTTGTACAAAACCACCTGAAATATCTAAATACACAACAAAAAGTTAACTTCTCTTTTTGAATTGTTTTTACATAAGTCATCACACCTTCATTAGCTGCGAGCATCTGATGTTTAACCAGGAGCTCAAATGCTTCATAACAATAAGGGTCTTGTTGCAAGGCTTGCCGATAATTCTCGGCAGCCAGTACCCTGTTCTCCATAGCTTCATAGACCTGGCCTCGTAGTAAACAAACTGAGCTCTCTACCTGTGGTCATAAAAAAACAAATTCACCATTCATATGTAAGGTTTGAAAAATAGCAACTTTTTAATCGGATGATTTTGTCAATAATCACAATTTCTGTCAAACATTCCAAAGACAAGCTTTACATAGCAGCCAAAATGATCCATTTCCACTAAACAATAAACAAGATTTGGACTCACATTTTGAAGAGGAATTTCTTGCACATCTACTCCTCCTGGTGATGCCAAATCCTCTTCTTTGACTTTACCAGGAGTCTTAATGGAATTATCTGATGCATCTAAGATGTTTATGGCCTCTTCCCACTCTCTAACTGCTGCCTGTCAAATGACAAACATTTGAGTATAACATACAGGATTGGAACATTTGATGTCTTTGTCTTGGAATTGCTGTAACTTTGACAAACTATCTTCAACAAGAATTCAACAAAAATGGTCCTTTGAAAAAATTTTTTAAATGACCAATGACATTCCAAGTACTCATTTCGTCTTAACAATTTTCCATTTATATGGCAAGGGACTTTTTTGTTTATCTTGACAAATGACAAATTTCCAATAAATTAAGTTTGTGTTTTTGCTCACTGTAGAATGGGGGGTTGCCCATGCTCTTGACATGTTGTTAATCTTTTCTAAAGGAATTGAAATTTCATTATAGAAAGAGTAAAACTCCTTTTCCGGGGTGGGGGCAGGAGTTAGAGAGGATTCTTGTGTGGATGAAAGAAATGAAAAGTTTTTTTGGTGAAATTTCCATTCCCCCCTTGGACCCAAGACTTAGACATGCCTCAGACTTTATTCCCATCCCAATCCCTAAAAATTGCCCTTGTTTCAATTCCACGTCCTCTGAAAACTTACATAACATTTTGCAGTGAGATACTGACATGCCTTGTTGACCTGAGGAAAAAAGAAACAACAAAACTCAGAAACAGATGGAAGTAAAACACAAAATACAAATGACTTGTTCAACAAAGCTACTGATGCATTAAATGTGACGGTAAACCTTGATGGTATTCTGTGAGAAGTTTCCTGTCGATGTAAAGACAGATGAAAGAAAACTTGATTCAAAAGTGTAAATGTTTGAACTTACCTTGTTAAGTTTTTTACTCTGCAATAAATGTGCTGCTCTGTGATACTGACCAGTAAGATACAGGGTCTGTGCCAACCAGTACGTGTCCCCAACATCATCTGGGAGTCAGTAGAAAAGAAAAATTGGATCTTTGTTATACAAGCCAAAGCTACAATAAATACAGAAATGAAGCATTTGAGACTAATGATAGGAAATAGATTTTTATCGTTAACCATTCAATTCTGTAAAAGTCACATTAAATTTCAAGATGCAAGAACAAAATGTGACAGAATTCACATGTAATTTTTATTTCAAATTAAAAAAAAGAGGCACGTGTTAGGTTGTCAATCTTGTCCATACAATGTATGCTAGATATGACAGACAGACTTACCATCTGATAAGGATGCAAGTTTGTCTGCCCAAAAATGTGCACTTTCATATTGATGCTACAGGAGAAAATATGAACAACTCAAGGTTATTACCAGTTTGAAAAGGATACATTCCAATCGAATATGTTGCGACATGGAGGAATGTTTGAGATTTGACCAATGGACCATGGCCTAGGGAACATGTTTTATTGGTTTATGATCAGTTGCTCCTGATTGCGTTTGGCCAATCAAAGTTACATTTTAGATTCACATCACGTTTTTCTCAAATTTTTACGCCCATCCCAATTTTAAAAAAAAAATATTTTATAGGTTTTTCAAGTGCGGCTTTCTCAATGAAGGCATTTTCCTGACAAATTTCACCACATCAATAGGTACAGCACATTGACTTTACACCACTGATAACCACTGAGGAGATGTTTGTGCAATATAGAACCAGAGCAGCAAAACAGCGTAAGCCAAACGTTATTAGTGCAGAACTTACAACTAGTACTGGTTACTGATGTGTGAAGCAAGTCCAAAGTTCACTATATCTGTCGAGGCTCCCAACTTATCTATGCTCATACATTATCACGTAGGCCTAGTTGGCAACCATCAATATTGAATACGATGACACTCATGGCATCACCATCACACAGCTCTCAATTCACTGTGGATTTTCCTACCTCTGTGGTGTGATCATGATGTGATAACATGTACACACCTGACCGTTTAATAACACTAGTCCAACTTACCCCGAGAACTGTGGTTTTGGTTTTAAGTCTTTTGGTTTAACCCTAACAGTCCTCAGTCCTCCAACAGGTGAAGGATTGAGGAGTGTTAGGGTTAAGTCTTTTATTAGTTTTAAGTCCTTCAGTCCTTTTGGTTGGGGCATTTTTTCTAGTACTTTTTCATTAATAAATTTTTTTTGTCCTTTTTTTAAGTCAAATATTGGTGTCTGAGCCTTATTAATTCAGTTTCCTGCGACTTTTCCTTCAAAGATGCTTGGTTTAGCTAGAGTTTTTGTTGTTTTGCGAGTTCCCCATAGTGTGTCATCCCACGTTAGTGGGGGCGCTAGCGGGCGGCCGGCCGGCGGCGGACCCCACAGTTCTAGGGTTAAGTCCAACTGGCATAGCAGCACATTCAGTAACCACAAATGGTTCATTTTCCCCTCCTCAAAATATAAAACCTATGTCTACTGAGATCAAACTTTATGTATTCATACAACGCCAAACAATGACTTATATTCCGAGTCTGGCTGGGTTAAAAAAAGACGCCCTCGGCGATTAGCAGGTTAGTTCAACTTGGTGCCGCACACATCGCAATTGCTTTATCGCCCAAACGCAATTCGAAGAGAGGGGAACCAGACACATTATGCGGCCAATATAGTCGGGTAGGCCTAAAAATGTCAAAACGAAACTCGGCTCAAAAACTATGTATTTCACTGATTTGCAACATATCCAAGAGATCTTGAGATTTTCATTTACACAAATATGGGTAATGGACTTGAAGTACTCTTCTGTACTTACCTTATCAATATACAACCTTACAAGCGACCGTAACTTGCAAACATCAAGTCCTTCCGTACTTCTCCTGTCATTCATTTTGCTCGTATCTTACCCGCCATTACCCAATGACCTTTGACATTTTTAAGACTAATGAAATTACGTGTAGTATTCACATTTGGAAATGCTTTTAGAACAAGCCTCTTCATTGGCTACTCCGCAACGTCAGCGCAGTAGTGACATGCGCACTGTTGTCAACAGCAACCATCAACAATTTCACCGAACTGGGAGCTATGAACTGGGCTTGGAGGCTTGTGTCTCACGAAGATGTGAGCCAGTGTTGAAGTTCGGGCTTATTTATGTTAGGTAACTTAAGTAAGATGAAACACAAATGATATCCAGTTTTTCATGCAACTCATTTACGGTTTACCACTCTTAGTGGGACAGATTTATAACTCGTAATTTTGCATTTATCGTATAGTAGGCCTATGTCACGGTCATGTACGCCAATTACATGTCATTGCCGGGGGGGGGCAAGGGCCCTTTACCAGCATGTTGTCTAGTGGGGCCTTGGCCTGCCCTAGACTTAGTCGTATGTCGTAGTAAACATGACGTAAACCCATGGGGTAAAACAACATAGTAGGCTCTACATCTGAACTTTTCAGAATTGCCACTCGTTTCAGTGCAAGGAGCTAAGATCCTGTTTTTCATGTGATATAAGCTAGGCCTAAGGCCTTAGTAAGGGCCTAAAAATGTCTAACTTTAGTGGATGATATCTGGTTGTTTTATTTTGTTTTCCTTTACAGAAATATCTCACATGCATCGGCTAACTCATCAGTATGACGGAATTCTCTGGTTTAGAACGACAGGCTCACAACTTAGTGGATTTAGTAATTGATAATTCCATCAAGCGTGTCATATCAGATCTACACAGTGGTGACGAGTCAGACTTGGGCCGTCCAGTTTCATCCCTCAAGGATTATGACAGTTTACTATTCCGTGAGATTGAGGATCATGAAATACAGAACATTGAATGGATGACTATTGATGAATTTACAGTTGAAAAAGGGGAGGCAAAGATTGATGCATTTGTCAAGGTTGGTAATTGGTAATGTCATGTCTAGTTTACTTGAAATCTTGTAACAAATTGACTTTGCCCTTGAACATATTGAAATGAAATAAATTTATCTATTTAACGAAGAGCGACCAATTCCAATAGAAAACATTTTTCCCCTACAGACATGGGAATATCAGGATAGCTGGCTGTACTGCATTGACTTCTTAAGAGAAGAAGATGACAAATACAGTAAAAAGTATCGTTACCAAGTTCGATGGAGCATCCCCACTAGGCGGAAACCCATCCCTAGGGCAACAGCGTGTGTCTACTTTACCATTGAGGTCTCCAAGATTAAACCTGGGGTAAGAAAGTAACCTCTCCCAAAATCACATCTTTAGGGCTTACAGAATTGTACAGAATTGAAGTACGTGTACATTACATGGACTGCAACATGTGGGTTTTACTAACTCGGTGTAGTCTTTAATGGGATAACTGTCATTTTGTGCCTTTATTTGTCAGTGAGGTCTTGGTGTAAGTCATAGTACCTCAGGGAACATTAAAAATAGGCTCAACCTTTGAGAAAATTTTGCTAAATCAGAGTGTCAAGCCCTACTATGTGGTAGCAGCATTGGGACATTTTTTCTACCCAATTCTTTTATGGTATATTTGTTTTGCACTAATTTTTCTGGTGTTTTCTCTGTATTGTCAGCATTATCCAGTGGAAGTCTACTATGTCTTTGAGACCAATCAGCTAGTTCACAAACCGGGTCTGTCTCGCTTCAGAGAACGTTGGCTGAAAGACATCATTGAGAGTAAGATCATGATGATGGAAGCTGTCAAATTCTGACAGAGGAGAAGAGATGATTTTTGTCATGAAGTCACATTCAGTCATCTCCATTACCAGTCATTTTTATTTGTGTTATCAAGACATTAGCTATAAAAAGCTGGAGAATGTCATCATCTGGCCATGAATTTGAAGGAGTCACTCAAGCCCTCCAAGCTTAAGGAAAATTTGATGAAAGATTTGATAAAAGTTGCAGTTGTCACTTTGTGCAGCAGATTGTAAACAGCAGAGAATTGAGAACCCAGTTTAGCACATCAGTGCAGTTATTTGGGGCAGTGTTATTGTTCATTGCATAATAGTGAAGAGTGTTACTTTTTTGTGGCCAAGTAATCACTGTGATGAATTTACCAATGGTTCCTGATAAATAAAGGTGTTTATTCAGTGCGTTCATTAAAACTGCACAAAATACCAGTCATTGTTACATTGTACACGTATTTGTCTTAGCCATAGAGATTAAATGTCTAGAAAAAACAATTACATGTACTAGTATGTCTAAAGGTAAACATTCAAATTGTATATACATTTGTGTGAATACATCAAGCAAACAGTTTCACCAGTAAAGTTTTGTTCAATTCAAATAATGAAGTCAAACAGTCTGGTAAAATTTCTTTGAGTTTTGAGTATTACCATACATTTAATGTAAATACGTGTATACTCGTGTAAATTGATAATGAAGTTTAATACAAGACTTTCATCGGAGTGGCACCCTTTCCCCGGGGTTTAATGTTTTTTGAGGCAATTCCCTGGCATTTTTCTCCTTTTATGCCGTTCTCTTTACCTGCTATGACTCGACGTACCGTCTTAATGGCTTTTGCATGTACATGTAAGGGCAATGTACACACCTTTGCAAGCCATCATCAGCATTAATTCGGGAAATTTGTCTCTTGATAAAAACACACTCGAAACTGTTGACCATTAAACACAATCATGTATCTAGAAAATTTGTTTTCGAGAACAACTACACTCGCATCATATTGTACAAAATGTGCGTCTTCACAATTCACAGAATGTTGAAACGAGATATAGGCCTAATACAGTGTAAAGTACCTTGTCTCTATAAGTGGTAAAATTGAAGCTATTTTCCTAATTTCGACTGATATTGAATTTCCTTCCAATGCCTACACTGATTGTAATATTTACAATGGAAAACAAGGTTACTCTACAACCAACGCAGACGTGATTTTAAAATCCACGCACGAAACTCGGCCCTTTGTAAAGATAAACCTAATTATCGTCAACACAACTTCAAATATTTTCAAGTCAATTCTGCACACCCCACCTAAACCAAATGACCCGTTGGAGTTTATACTTCGGGGCTACAGATGTCTTCGATGCTAAATATAGCGACAGAAACTGATCTTGGCCAAGTTGTTGACGAAGTTGTTGACAGTTAGGTGCACTTTGACATTTGTTGATGTACCCGCGATAATTATAATCGTCAAAGGGGTCAGCACAAAGCACAACCTGTGTATCGAATCCAATGCTAACCTCACACTTTGTATGAACGATTCTGGTGGTCAGGAATACGCCTGTCGGCCATACATGTACATTACTCATAAATTTTTGCAGTTCTAACGCTAACTTTGCCTAAGTATGAGCCGTAAGTCCACGTATCGACCGTGAATGAGATAACCTATCAGCAAGATGAGACTTGCTGTTAGCTGTAAGTTAAGGAGAAATAAGTTCTCCCAAACAAAATACATTTGATTCATTTTTGCAACGCGTTCATTTTCAGAAGAGGGGCGCTTGTCTATCGCCATCTTGGTCCTCACATTTGCTACTTGTGGTTATTAGACGCATATCGCGGTGAACGCATGTATCTTAAAGCCCCAAATTGCTGTGCGCGTATTCGTGTTGAAAACAACAAGCACAATATCTGATCATACTTCAGACAGTTCCTTGTTGAAGGCTTCACCTTTTGTTCAAAGAGGTTTACTTCGGGTTAATTCACAGGTGAATTATGACGAAACCTGACTTATTAGCTCTTGACAAAGCCACAATATTCATTAACTTCAGACGATTTCTAAGTGTTGATCTGGCAACACACCATATTTGCTCTTATGGGTCTCAAAAAGTTCAGTCAGTTCTTTTATGTAGAGGGCGTGCATGCTTTCCACCTGGTCACGTGTTGGGTTAGGAGTTTGCTTCACTGCGATTGGCCGCCCAACTACAAGAAAAATTTTATTAAAAGTTAGTTAAAGTTAGAGTTGTAGATCGAGAAAATAGTTAACAATAAGACAAGAGGTGTTTTTTAGACTCATGAAAAGAACTGAAGCGACACAAAAATGAGCCATTTGTTAAATAAACGCAACGTTGGGACGAGGTGAGTTAAAGAAAAAGGATTTAACAGCATTTTCGCCAATGTTTATCCGGCTTTCTTACCAATTGTTGTTATTGGTGTTCTGTATGGCAACAGGGAGAAACCTCGTCCGTAGAAGAGCGGCGGGCTGAAGCCACAGATCTTGGTCATAATATTCTGAAAGCGTCTCAACCTCGTACCGGGAGCATTGTCAACTTGGTCATAAGCGTTGTTTTCACCGAAGGTGTACGCTGGGACTAAATCAGCTCTGTCAATACAAGAGAATCATTCAATGGAGTGTTACTTCTCAAACTTCATGTTGATAGTGTTCTGGGTCTGCCTCCAATAAAAAGTTCCATTGCAATTCTGAACGTTTAGTCTAGCCCCCAAAACATTTCTCACAAAAATATTGCTATCTGTAAATATTACAACGACAAAATGCACTGTTTCTAGGTCATTTACAACACTGATGTCTGTTTCATGAAGGATTTTATTTAAACTTTGCTTATTGTTTGTGTCAATTACCCATGCACTAGAGCTAACTTGACGAATCCTTTCCTGGCTTTGATGCTAAGACGATGCATTCCTGGATGCGCGTCCAGAGCTTCTGGAGCGCCCCCAACGACTACTACGCTAACATTACCAACGCCGTTCTGGCTGAGAACCCACTCTATGCTGTCCTTTCGAACACTCACCGAACCTGTATATTCATGATTGAATGTGGATAAAAAAATGACAATGATAATTAAGCGCCTTAAGTGCTCCCGCAAAAGCTGTATACACAATAGATCTGCCACGAAATCAGGTCAGAGTTCAAAAGACAACAGAAATTGTCAAAACTTTTATCGGCCATTAAAGTATCCTACTTCGTAAAATACGGTAGACATGTTTTACCTGAGAGCATAAAATAATCCCTGAAGATTGGCATCTTAAACATCTGGTGCAACGTCATCAGAAACACCTTCATCCCGGGAAACACAGTGCTCAACCCAGTCGCATCAGTAGCGAAGTTAAAGAAACCTCCAAACACCAAGACTCCGTGAGGATGGTATCCCAAGAGATAGTTCTTGGAAGGATCGAGCTCAGCGGTCTTGACCAAGTTAACGGGGAAGTAATCCCTCCCTCGTTTCCAGATCTTCCATTGACGTACCCACATCCATCTCCTGGCCCCACGGCACGGTGTATTCCAGTCATATGCTAGCCAGGTAAAGTAGATCAGAGAAATCCAGTACAGGTCGGTGAAGAGGAGGTAAATAAGGATAGCGAGGCTGACGTGGCCGACAAAGATGAAGGTGGTAATGTAGTGGAGACAGGAGAGGGCTTCTAAGAGACGAGTCCAGGATTCCAAGAAGTTGACTTGGAAGGTAGTCGATGCCAAGTCAACTCGAGAGCGCAGCTTCTTCATCTCCTTGGAGTACTCCACCATTAGAGCCGTATCCATGGTAACGGAGTTTTCAAGAATTGTTTTCTGAGCAAAAACCTGGAAATGATGCAGGAAAGATTCTGTCGTTTTGAAAAGTATGCCAGTGTTAGGTTATAGTGTTAGTTGAACAAGACCAACGGGCATCCCTGTAGTTTTTCACGCGACAAACATGTGACGGGAGATAACATCGTGAAACTGATCGCCGAAACAGATTAAGAAATGGACCACTGAATCAATAAACAAGATAATTTTTATGCTGACCAAGATGCACACGCAATACTGATAACCAGGATTTATTGGTTGGTTGTACTCTAATGGGAAATCAAAAACACCTCTGAAAAAGTGTAAATAAAACAAATATGAACACCTAAGTCTTTGCCACAAAAAGTATATAATTGAAATATTCAAAAAATCGGAAGCAATTTCATAATTCATTGAAGTGGGAAACTTGCGTAATATGCATAATCGCCATTAAAACGTATTTCTAAATACCCTAAGTATTACCCTTTCTCCAAACACGGTATGTATTCAGAAGAATTTTTGAGTGAAAATAATTTGTATTAAATTGGCAATGGATTCCCTCGAAAAAGTAAACCATCTTCTCCTGCATGTATCCCAAAGTACTTGAAGCTACTCACCCAACAACGTGCAGTCAGACCAGCAGAAATTGAAGGCTTTCCTCGTCGTAAGCTTTCTTTATGTTTTAAAACTGATCGGAATTTTACGACCAAATTTCTGTCGACTCGACCTGAGTTACGCTTTACTTTAATGACTATTTAGTGGGCTAAGGCGTAGCATTTGAGTTTCACAGTTTGAAAATTCCGATTTTAAAACTCATTACAAGTGTAGGCCAACCTGAAACTTCTTATCTTGAAGTGAGTTGCACAAAAAAAGGCGAGTTTGCGAAATTCAAAAACGGACGGATGCGTGTAGAGCCTCTGGCATAATACATTCTGTACGTGCGTCGAAAACAAACTGCCACACACGGCTACAGCTGTTCAGAACCGAATAACAAAGATAAAATCTTCCAAGTCAAAGATCGCGAAAACACTGTTGACCACAAAATTTCGACATAAATCGGACTGCAGTCTTGCCCCGACGACTGTTTTCCATTGTTCAGTTCAAGTAAACAGTGACAATTTCCAAGTGCCTGGGCCACTGCGCAAGCCTGCTCATTTGTATACAAACGACAGGTTGGTGTAGATTTATTAGATGTACCCCTACGGCTGTTACGTATCAACTTCCGCCTGCAGAATTTATATTGCAAAATAATCGGCAATCACTGTTCAAAGTGTGACACGATAATAATATTATCATAGCGCTTTGACATCAAATTCATTTCATTTTTCTCGCCTTCTAGCCTGAGATTCCGTTAGACGAACACGGGCGGGGGTATAGTGTTTTGAAGGAGACTAAGGCGGGTTAGTCGGCATCCGTGCGTATACTCAATGAACGCGGTCATTGGGCGATAAGTTGGATCATTCATGTCACGTACAGAACGAAGCTGAAGCATGCAATATCGTCATTAGTGACAATATTTAGAATTATGTTGTTCAATGTATTGCTTAAGGTCAGACAGAACATACAATGATAACTAACACAATGTTAGCGCAGACATAATATAATGTACACATTACTATCTCATTACTTTTTATAGAAGCGTTCACGTGACCCCAAAACCAGACATAAAGTTTAGTTAAGTTTGTCACCAAGAATCGGTAATACATCTCACGATAATTATAAAGATAACATCTCTTACAGAAAGGAAGACAGCTTATTTAAGTTTAAAATGACCAACCTTCTTATTTCTAAGCTACAAATGTGTCACATGTCGTGGCAAGTTCAGTAAACATAAAAAAAGAAAAACGAAGTAAATAAAAGCATCATCGGGAAGGAACAACGGTTTAAAACCATTGCCGAAGCAGCCAGGCAACAGCTTTGATTCACTAAGATGGAAAGCTTGCGGTAAGCACCATGCAATATCTCTTTTTGAGTCTGTGTGGTTATGATAAGGACCGGAGAGGCTCAACGTTTCGGACAGTGTGCTCTGTCCGTCGTCAGTTGAGCCTCTCCGGTTCTTATCAGAACNCTTACCGCAAGCTTTCCATCTTAGTCGTCTGTCACCATGAATAGCTTGAAATCCCATCAGCTTTGAGTCACTTTATTCGTGATTCGTTGTCGCTATATTTACATACATGTAAAGGGTATAGTTAATCATGTAACAGAACGATCATCAGTTCTTTTGGGGGGCTCGACATTTTTTTAGGGGGGTTACTGTATTTGTTGCTACTGCTGAAGCCATGCATTCTCTGTTTTCTCCTCAACCAAACACAAATAAGACACTGCAAGGTTTTATGCTTTTAGGAGGTTTACAATCTTCAGACCCAGGCAGTCTGAAGCCCGTGGGGGGGGGAGTTGACAACCCGACCCCCTGTGGATCTGCGCCTGACTTCTTGACATCAGTCACCATATAGTCCTACTAGATAATGCGCCCAACACTATAGTCAACAATAACAGTTTTCCATCTTCAAACAAAGATCAATTTTTCGTCTGTCGAAATGCCATACTTTGTCTTGTGTTCATCAAAAAGCGCCCTCAATTCATTCATGTATTCCCAGTGAACCTTATCGATTTCTTCGTTGCTAGGGTTCACAATTTTTTCCACGGGAAGTGCCTTTCCAACTACAAGGAAACGAAAAAAATGAATTAGAGATATATATATATATATATGCGTTTGGAGTTTGTTTCGTGGGTACCACACGTTACAATAAGATAACAAATAAATAATGGTTTGCAAATTCAAATTTTATCACTTCTCAACTCACCCACTGTTGAAATTGGTCGTCGAAAGGGCAGTAGACCGAAGGAATAGTTGAATATTCCCCGGCCGTGGAATACTGGTGGAGCAAAACCCATGAGTTTAGACAGACGATTCTGGATAGCACGAAGGAAAGAACCTGGTGGGTTGGGAAACTGTTTAAAGATGTCTGCCTCACCAAAAGAGTAACATGGAACCAGATGGGCACTGGGGAGAAATGAAGACAGCAAAACGAACTCCAATAAATTACAGCAAACAACACTGATGGGAAAGAACGCCACGGAAACAGGCGACAGAATGTAACAATGAAAAATGTTACATAACGACGATATAGAGTTACAAGCAACAGTCTAAAAAAAACTGCAAAATGACATCCATTCACTTACCCGTTCTCAATGGCTCTCTTGATGAACCCTTTCCGTTTTTGGAGATAGACCACGTGATGATTTGGGTGGGACTCCAGAGATTCGGAAGCCCCACCCACTACAATGGCTACCGATCTACCGGGACCAGAGTGCCCTAGCAACCAATCAATGCTCTCCTTACTCACTGGACACAGCCCTGCAATTGCAAATGTTACACTTTTACTTCAATATGATTTAGCGATTTTATTTTAAGGTGTCAGTGATTAGAGATTTATTTCTAAGAAACATTTGGGAAGATTTTTTTCCCGAAAACTTTCAGAGCCACTGTAAAACAATGTGATTCACGAACTGGAAGTGCGCAATGTCTACTCTTTACCACCACCCCCCCCCAAAAAAAAAACAGAAGCGGTACAAAATAAGACTACTTGACGTACCTCCCATCATGAGATAATCTCTCGCAAGCGGGATTTTAAACCAGCCTTGCAGAGTAAGCAACGACGGAGTAATCCCGGGAAACTTTTCACTAAATCCCGTCACCTCACTCCCGAAGTTTATGACAGCTCCAATGCTCATGATGCCGTGTGGATGAACAGCAAAGAGATAATTATGGTTGGGATCGAGGTCGGCTGTTTTGATGAGTGATATTGGGAAATAATCTCGGATGCAGGCCCACTGAGGCATGTATCTGACTCGTAACCAGGGCAGACGCCTGCCTCCTTTACGAGGGGTCTTACGATCATAGTAGGACCAAGCCACGCCCAAGATGGTTATCCAATAAAAGTCTGTAAAAATGAGATACACGCCCAGTAAGATGGGTATCAAACCCATCAAGATGAAAGATGCCCAGTAGTAAATCACACCCAGAGTCTGGAGACGCCTCTTTAGAGGTATGTTGAGAGGTGCTAGCTGTAACCCCTTCAAAGTCGAACTGTAAACACTGGCAAACAATGAATTCAAAAGGACAAGAAATTTCTATTGCAACGACTCTTTGATGTTCAACAACTTTAACAAACATATTGCTTTGGCATTCTGATGCTGTAACCGATACTAACAAGTGGCCAACATGTTTACCCTACTGCTGTAAAGCTCTCATGTTAAACTGTCAAAAGTATGTCCTTTAATATCTATCAACTCGAAACACCAATCAAGTATAATGCCTTTCAAAACTAAAACCAACAAAATACTTTTATGTATGAATTAAAATCCAAATATCTGTCGCAAAGCCTTCCCATTTCAAAGATTGTGAGGTGACCATTTCCTCGAGCGTTACTGTGTTATCGCAAACATTTCATTGTTCGGGATAATTAATTTATTTTGAGCATTTATCAAAAGTAATATTTACCTTGCCATTTCACCTCTCTTTGCTACTTTAAAGATACGTTTGTTTTCACGAGTTGGCCCTACCATATGATCCCATCGAGGGCCACTATTGTCAATTCAGTTTTCACCTCCATGACGTCCGACGTTAAAATGAAACTAATCCAGTGTTACATGAACTAGGCCTATAATATTTGATATGCACCACCGTCATTTCAATCTGATAAAATGTTTGGTTAACAGATTTATAGGTTTAATTTGAAGCAAGAATCACAACCAGCCCAGCACAGACTGGATATCTGTTTCACCAAGGATGCCTCACGTTTCGTAATACCAGCATTGGTATATAATGGGTGGGTTAAGCGAGTAAGAAGTCCGAGGGTCCCACAAACCAACCGATAATAGATAATCGTTGCCGGCGTGTCAACTACAGACAAGTTTCAAACTAGTCGTGCAGCTTACAAGGTCGCAAAGAATGTGTTTTTCCCGCAACATTTTCTCATGATGAAATGACAAAGTTCCTGAATTTGTCAGACGTCCACAGGAAGTATCTTCCAAAAGCAAAAGCATCGACACTTTCATGTAAACTCTGAGTGAAAGCAATGCTCCAATAAATATAACTTTTTCACAGTTCTATTTATTGTCTTTTTTAACTTACGAGATGAAAACCTTTTAATTTTCATGCGAATGTCTCCGACTCTGCCAAACATTTTCTTCTTACTATCTTGATCCTACACGGGCAAATAAATGTTACAACTACCTTTATAAACTCTCTGTAATTGTTTCTTGGTACTCTAGCGATCCAATCTTTCGAGATCAGAACTTACGATGAACTTGACTAGGCTTTTCCTAAGTTCGAAGCGTAAAAATTGATTGCACACTTTAAGAAATTACTACATGTACACAAATATAGCCAAGAACACATTGCAAAAGACTCATTATTGCAGACTCAGATGTTGCACGTTAACTTCTACAAGAAATCTTCACGATCATCTTGGAAATCTGATACAGTTTACTTTGTCCAATCGGCTTTATCTTTGTTCATTTGCTAAACAATATGAAGTATAAAAATATCATTTGCATAGCTAATTGTAATTTTTTTAAATAATTTAAACACATTCTTAACTTGTTGGTAAGCCTTTACGTACAACTGGAATGCTGCAGTTTAGCCAAACGCATGACAGCATATGTTAAAATTAAGTTTTGCATTATTTGTAATTAAAACACTCGGGGAATTCTATGAAAGTGCAAGTCGGTATTAAAGTACAGTAATTCCTTACCTGACTTAGAAAATACTCTTTTGTCAAACTAAATACTGTTTAAATCTATGTACATCATACTCTGATTTTAACAAGTTTCTCAACCTGGCTCCTAAGCCTAAACTGGTGAGAATTAACTTGTTTTTTTTAAAGTAATTCTTGGTAAAAACACATTCCTCAATCCCCTTCTTATTCTGAAGAGAAAGTCCCGAGATTTACAATACTACACAATGACATAAACTTAATCCTAATATGGATCACTTTTTCTTGCATTTGAAGTCTCCAAACTGAATTTCTTTAAATGATAATCAATTTTTCGTGAGACTCTACACCATATTTGGTTTTGTTTTCTTCAAATAGTTCTCTCAGTGCATCGATGTACTTCTGATGAACTTGGTCAATCTCTTCTTGTGTTGGGACTGGTGATTTTTCCACAGCAATTGGCTTCCCAACTACAATAAACCACAAAAAAGGGAAAACATAAATTAATACACTAAAGTGATTTTCCTTTCAGGTAAAAATAAATTCCAAGATGTTCAGTTTACAGGACTTTGTTTCAACACTGGAAATTTTTCAATGAAAAAAGACATATTTGTTCTCGCTTACCAACAGTGTGTATAGGCCTCCGGAAGGGAAGAAGTCCAATGCTGTAATTAAAGATGCCTCGACCATGAAACACTGGGGGAGCAAATCCAATTGTCTTGGTCAGACGAGTCTGAATCTTTCTTAGGAGTGATCCTTCTGGATTGGCAACTTGCTCAAAGATGTCTGTCTCTCCAAAGGAGTAGACGGGAACCAGACATGCCCTAATGAAAGTTCAAATAATGCTTAAGCTTTTATAGTGACTTTAATGACTTAGCACTCCTTTGTTTAAGCATGGCGCAATGGAAAACCTCACTTAGCTAAAACCAGTTTCAGAAATGAACAATTTTTCACATCGAATTTACTATTTCATATGTTTCAGTGAAGTGATCGTTTATTTTCCTTACCCATGTTCCACTGCCTTTTTGATAAATCCCTTTCTTTTGGCTAAGAAGACAACATGGTTATGTGGATGTGCCTCCAGAGATTCTGTTGCCCCACCCACAATAATGACAACAGCATTACCAGTTCCAGACTTGCCAAGAATGTAATCTATGCTTTCTTTGCTGACTTCACAAAGGCCTAAAGAAGTAAATGGGCAAACTGTAATTTAAGTAAAAAGAATTTCAGATGTAATCCAGAAATGCAACAAAACCCATAACTTGTTTATTCTAGAATAATTGAATTTTTGGCACAATAATATAATAACATACATTTATTTTGTCATCTAGAATGTACATCATCGGGCAGAAAAAATGTTACCAATGATTACAGATATGTCAAATTTCTACATTGTGACAAAACCAACCTCAGCGATCTTAACGGAAAAAATTCTGTACTCATGACTCATGTGCCACTTTCATGTTCTCTTGTGCGCATGTTTTGCTTCTCATAGAAACAATCATAGCGGCCTCCATTTCGTCAATAATGCGTGACGGATAGTACATAAAATATTCCCTAATTCATCCAAACCTACATCACGTTCAACATCTTAACAAATAACACATACCTGACATCATCAAGTAATCTCTTGTCAGTGGGAAATTGAACCAGCCGGTTAACGTCAGAAGATAGGGAGTAATACTTGGAAAAGTCTCGCTGAAACCTGTAGCTTCTGTGCAGAAATTCACAAAAGCCCCAAGGCCCATGATACCATGAGGGTGAAACCCCAGCAGATAGTTCTTACTTGGATCAAGTTCTCCCATCTTGATGAGCTCGATAGGGAAAAAGTTCTTCATATAAACCCACATCCTCCATCTACGTAGCCAGTCACTACGGCGACCACCACGTCTAGGGGTCTTACGATCGTAAATAATCCAGCAGATTGCTAAGAGAGTGACCCAGTAGTATGACGTGAAGAAGAAGAGGTAACCAAAAATAAGAGATGAGGTCAAACCGAGAAAGAGGAATGAGAACCACCACTGGATGACAGCTAAGGTTTCCAAACGACGATGCAGTGGGATGTTGAGGGGGGCTAGCTTCAATGCCATCTTGATCAGTTGATGGTTCTACTCTCTCTACAAAAATGTCACAGAAATATCTCAAGAATGTCAAATTCTTGCAAGAGAGAAACTTAATTTAGTTGATGGACTCAATGGTTGCAAATTTCCCCTTCTCTCTGCTGGACGTCAATCCATGTCGATCAAGTTGGTGGGGTCACGGTCTCAAACATACCCCAACTGTTATGTCCAGGTGCCGCTTTCCTAGCTTATTATCGTGCAAGTGTTTTCTAAAATCTACAGATGTACAACATACAATTGGATTTCATTTAAATATAGAGCAGTGAAGCTCTTCTAAAGAGCAATTTTGAACATTTCTCTGACTTACCGAAATCGATGATCCGATTTCGTCTGCACAGCTGATGAGCTGGTCAGAGCCTTGTCTCCATACATCTAAAACCTTGCAATCGCAGTTAACTAAGAAGAGCCCCAGACTAGTCTTTCATGCCATGCAAACAACAAGATTTCTAATGAGAGCACCAGGCCTGGATTTATTATATGCGACTATGGTTTTGGTTTATGTGCATACATACCCTCATATCTAACTCGACTTACCGTATTACTGACATTCCCTCGTCAATGCATGATCTTTGTACTCTAATCCTGGCGAAACGTGAGGTCAACTGTTGAGAGACAGGATCAAATTCGTGCTGTTCACGAGCCTATCATGCGTAGGCCTACACAAGGTGGGGGCGTGGTTCAGTGCAACATGCCGAATTCAAAGTGCAATTCTAAACTTACTCAAATCCAGTTTTTCAAAGAAGCACAAAAACACGTGGGCGATGTACTGTGTATGGAGTAAGTGTGTTCTTGCCTACATTCACAGGTTTGCACATTACGGTAATCGTTTTAGTGTCGCGTTTTAGGGCGGAACCGGAAATTCTAGATATTTTTTTGTGGCATTTGTTGTTTGAAAAAGTCATGCTAATTATTAGGACAGCTAGGATTTACAAATGAAGGACTCGATGAACACGTACGTGCCGCACCAGGTTCCTTGTCAGGGACAGGTCCTTTTTTCAAACAACAAGCTAAACAAGCTAAACCTTTCTTTTTGGCTTTAGTTTATTGCATCCACCAATTCATTCATTCAATTCATGCTGCATACAATTTTAAAGTTTTAACAGGCAAGCTAGCAGTGTAAGTAAACAGCACAAAGAAACAGAAACAAATAGGGCCTGTAGTAAATTCGACCACCAGAATTAGAAGCCATTACTGCGGCGGCACAACGCTCGTGGACAGGTGGTACGCGCACGTTACATGCCGCTTCGACCAACAGGGTGTCGTGATTGCCAAATGCACGTGCGCGTCAAGCTGCAGAATGTGCGTGTGAGTGCGGTGCCACTTCACTATGGCGTCTAACTGGATTAGTTTATACCCCGAACTTATGCTAGCAGAGCTAAACCAAGCTACACGAGACATACCATGCAAACAAAACATGAAAGCGTGGAATTAATTTTTGCAAGGAAAAAGTTTTTCTCTGAAAACTGGACTTTTTCAAGTATACTATGCTTTGATTTCTCATATCTGTAGTACACTTTACTGAAAGTAGTAGACACTACAGTCCTGTTCAAACTTAAATGAAAGCCTTATCAGATTTTGCATTAACCTACCTCACTAATTACAAACAAACTGTGATTATCAGACAGTAAAATAGAAATTAAGTAGTGATCTTATAAGATCAATAGATTTACAATTATTTTAGAATTATTATAAAACACTTGCAAAATATAAATCAATGACAAAAATTAAACAGGAATCGATAACAGATTGCATGAGCAGAATCAAATATCATGTATGTTATTAACTTTAATTTGAAACTGGCATTTTCGAAAAACGCAGTTGTATTAATTAGAGAGCAGTATAGTAGCATGTTTGGTGATATCAGCAAAATAGACATAAGCTTGCCTCAATATAAGGATATGCACAAACTATAAAAGTTAAAACTTTTCAGCAAACTGTGCATCCTCTTCAGCTTAGACAATGTCTCTTTACATGTATTTTCATCTTATTTCAGTAAACCAATCTAAAATTTGGTAATTTATTACCTCAATTAAGTAGCTCATGCACAATGATAAAGACCTTTGAGAATTTACATTGTTCTGATATGTAACACCTGAAAAAGATTTCACATTTTAATCTTTGAAACGTATGTACACATTTCACTTGTGACTGTGTGTCATTTTGCTTATAAATTAAGTCTTAATATCTGTGAAATATGAAAACACTTGGTCAAGGGCAAAGCGCTGAAATGTTCTCACTATCATGGTGGTCCAACTATGTATGTTCTGACGTCAAGATGCAAGCAAATATACACTGACCAGATGACGTTAACCATTGCCATTAAGTAAATGTGCAGACATTGGGACTTTAGAAAAATCAAAAGGTCAACTTAAAAAATTGTTATAAAAAGGGATTTAATTAATACAAAAAATTTTGTTGTTTGTGTGTTTTTTTAAGTCATGTCCAGAACACCTAACCGTGGCTGTCAGTTGAACACAAATCAATGGGAAGTTTGTGCAGCCACAAGCCAGTGGATCTCGTTATGTGTGAATTAATTCCGGTCGCAGCCATTACTTTTAGACACAGGCTAACTTGGTGGGGTCAATGGGTCAAACTCGTGATGTCCCAGGCTGTTGGTTGGTCTCATTCTCTAAATCACTTTCAATGTCTCCTCTTCCTCAATGCCATACTTGGTCTTATGCTCATCAAACAGTGCCACCAATGATGCAATGTATTCAGCGTGTACTTTGTCAATCTCTTCCTGTGTTGGGTTGGGATTCTTGTCCAAGGGAATGGGCTTACCCACTAAAAATGAAATGAAAGTCAAAAAATACGAACAAATTAATTCGCGTCCCCTATAGAGCCTGAAAATTGACCCCTGGTGGCGCGCTTCCGGAGCCCTTGGATAGGGAAAATAACGTGCAAAGATTTTAGAATTTGTAATATTTTTTGTCAGTTACTTAAGATTTGAAGCTTCAAAGTGCATGGTGGAAGAGACATGAGAAATAGGTTTGCGGGTACACAGAAATTCAAGGATGCAAAAGAAAACACAAGGATGAAAAGACAGAATGGAGCTTTACAGGTACATATAGGAAGGCGGATTAGCAAACAAACAAATGGCTCTTTGCCACAAATGAGTCAACTGTGAGATCAATGGATGTCTGCTCCAGAAGACATCGCGCATCATTTAGAAAAATATGACAAGCCATGGGGAAACTGCCCACTAAGCCTGTTAATAGCTACAGATCACTTACCCACAGTAAATATGGGTTGCCGGTAAGGTAAGAAACCCAAGTTGTAGTTGAAGATCCCTCGACCATGGAAAAGTGAAGGAGGAATACCTACAACTTTGGTCAGCAGAGCCTGTAGTTTTCTCAGAAATGAACCTTCCGGGTTAGGAATCTGCTCGTAGACATTTGTTTCACCAAAGGAGTACACTGGTACCAGGCTTGCCCTGAACATAATTTTATGATTTGCCACAGTTAGCATGTGTCACACACTATTTTCAAAATTAATACAGTAGGTAAACGTTATATATAGTCGTTCAATTCAGCTGCAAACAATGCAAAGTAAATAAAACCAGAAGTTACCCATGTTTAAGGGCTTTGCGAACAAAGCCTTTCCGCTTGCTTAAGTAAATCACGTGTCTATGAGGCTGAGCTTCCAAAACCTCCTTGACTCCACCCACTACGATGACGACAGCGTTACCAGGGCCAGATTGCCCTAGCAACCAATCAAGACTCTCCCTGCTTACATCACATACTCCTAGAATAGTTATCAGTAAAAAAAGAATTGAAATTGTAAACTGTTTCCAAATATTTCAAGATTTCTACTTAAAAAACGGTCTAAAAAGGGGATCCAAGTCCTACATATTTTTCAATAAAAAGATCCCCTCCAAAAAATAAATTTCTATTTCTACTTGAGAATATAATTCTTCCCTTGCCGAGTTATTCTGACGGAAGCAACTTCATTTAATTATTTGGTTTACCTGTTAAACTTGTATGCTAAGCATTGTCATTAATATAAATACCTGCCATCATGATGTAATCCCTTGCCAAGGGAAACCTAAACCATCCACTCAGGGTTAACAAAAATGGCTTAATTCCCGGAAACTTCTTGGCAAACTCATTAGCCTCCGTGCAAAAGTTGACAAATGCTCCCATGCTCATGATGCCGTGAGGATGGAAGCCAAGCAGGTGGTTCTTTCCAGGATCCAAATCTGCCGTCTTGATCAGGTGAACCGGGAAGAAATTCCTCATATGAACCCACACCCTCCAGTGACGGATCCATTCACATCGGCGCCCCCCTCTACGAGGCGTTTTGCGATCATAGTAGGCCCACAGATATGCAAGAATAACCAGAGGGTAGTACTTAGTGAAGAGGAGGTAAATGGACGTCACGATGACGATGATTAATGAGAGAAGGAATGTCAGTTCCCACTGCAAGACAGCCAGAGTTTCTAGACGTCTGTGAAATGGGATGCGGATGGGAGCAAGTTCCACCCCCATCACCTTCACATGGCTCTCTGATGTCTCCTCGCTGTTCAAGAAAGAACAACGTATCCATGAAAATTTGCAAATTTGGATGGATTAGTTTACTTGCAATAGGCCTAAATTCAGTTGGAAAAATTCCTCCATTTTCCCGTCTACAGGCACATAATATTAAAGCCACTTAATGACTTCCAATAAAGGATATTCAAATGCTGATAATGCCTGACAAAAGATTGTAATCATGCGAATTTCCTGGTAATTAAAAATTTGCATCAAATAATTCAATATGAATTAAAATTGGCTGAATGAAAAAAGCAAATATGTGCATGTACTGATTAAGCCTATGAACTTCAGTAGGTACACAGCTAAAACTATGCCTAGGCCCTACCTTTTCATGTTGTTCTGACGAGCGCTCCTCTCCGTTTACTACAACTGTGTCGTTTCATGGGCACTTCAGTCGTTCAAATAGAATATTAACACTCCTATGTTGCTGGCAGACAGTGCACGAGCAGATAAGATAGCTCAAAAACATGACCTATATCTAATACGTCATTTATCTACATCTAATTAAATCCTATTTTGGCCATGAATCCAGACAAAAAAATGTTAATGTTCAATCTGCTTTAATATACCCGTGGCGTCGCCCCAAACTTGGCGCACTTTGACATTTAGCCTCGAGTGCCTTGCTGGAGCAATATTTTTACTTCAAAGTTCATTATAAATGAAATGTCATCAGACGCTCAGTATTCTCTTTCAAACATCGATTTTACTCACCCACTACAAAGCTCCAATGGAAGTTCTTTTTTTTTTCTTTTAAAATTCGCTCCCAAATACGAAAACTAATTTCTAACAATTTACTTGTGAGTTCACGCTCACCGGGGCATGGGCTTTTGAATCATCCTCCCACTTTTTCGGCCTGATAAAAATTAATGTAGAATGTGAAGAATTTTCCAGACTTCCCACGAAACAACCAGAATGTATTCAACAGCACTCAAAAAGGGAGAATGGAAAAGCCATAAATATGCCATTCTGTCGGAAGATTCTGCACATTGTAAAAAAGGGTGGTCAAACCGTGTTGGGCATTTATTTGCCCAACCGTGGGTAAAGTTGCCACGTTGTTGGTTAATTTTCATCACTGTTGGTCAAACATTGACCAACGACTGGGAAGAATTTGCCCAAGGTTGGGAAGTTGATATTTACACCAACATTGGGTAAAATATCAACCCAAAAGCTGACCCACCTTTTTTACAGTGCAGTAATGTAATGTGTATCACAAATGAGCATGCCCGCCATACAGTGCCATATGGTGTCAGCATCCCCTTCCGTCCACTTTTCGAATTTCCATTGCCTAGTAAGTCATCCCCCGAAAATTCCCCACCCCCTCCCTTTTGGCACGTAATTACGCCACGGGACAGCTATGAATTACAAGTCAGAGGCACCATGAAACAACAGGTACTGCGTCAGGGACAGGTACAGTTTTGTTGAAATGCATGACAACAAATTATACTTCTCTTTCTGGCTTTGATTTACTCCGTCCTCAATTTTTAGCACAATCAACACTCTACGAACGTTAAATCAAGCTGCATCATTTTTTCGACAATATTAACTGGCAAGCTAGCGGTGTACATCAACCAATGTGGATAATCACCCATAACCTGAAATAATGGCGGTACGACGAAATAGAGACAACTTTTATACTCTGAACTTGTATTGACGGCACTAAAATAATCTTTACTGATAAGCCTACACTATAAACAAGTATACCCTGAAGACCTGAACCTACGCTGGTTGCACTAGAACACTCTCTACAAAGCATACATGTACACCACAAACAATACATGACAACGTGTCAAATTACTGCCGAGAAAAGTCACTTCTTAAACCTGGATGTTAGTGAACCTACTGAAAGTATAGCAGAAAATATAATCCAGCATATTTAAGTTCAAACTAAAAAGAAAATCAGATACTGCATTGACTTACTTCACAATGTGCTGATAGTTTTGAGATAGTAAAGGGAAATTTAAGTACATATGTGGGAAGATCAAGGTACAATACAATAATTTCAAATAACTGCAGAGCACATTTGGCCTGTATATTTCAGCCTACCCTAGAAAAAAAGTCGATCACGACGCTTGTAAAAAGTGCATCGATGTCAGAAAATAAATAGAAATCAGACTGCATTAGCAGTATCAAGTACATGTCTCATGCATTTTATCAAATTAAATTTGAAACTGGCATTTTCAAACAACAGGTTGTTTATTCATTAGAGGACAGTTGTAAATATAACAGCATGTTTAGTGATATCTGAAATAAACATAAACTTGTCTCAACAATGAGGATATGTATGAGAAAATACAACAGTTAACATATATTTAGCAAATTATGCATCTTCCTCAGCTCAGACGATTTCTATTCTGGTTTCCAACCACATTAAAGATAAATTCATATAAACAATCTAGCATATTTCAGTGAACCAATATACACTTCCACAATTATCTTAAATCAATTCATGCATCATGATATAGATCTTGAGATTTTATGTTGCTTAAATCAGTAACTATGTGATTTCACACTTCAAACTTTGAAAAATATATACACATTTCAATTCTGACTGCATTTCATTATCCATTCTTAATGTCTTTGGCATATCAAAACACAGCACGATGTAGTCAAGGGTACTACTTAAATGATGTCACTATTCTAGTGGTCTGACTTCAGTCTGACATCAAAATGCAACCATGCTGACTTTAATCCAACTTCACGGCGTAGTGCCAAGTTTTTTTGCCACTGAAAAAATATGACACTGGGTCAATAGCAAAGCCAATTCAGTAGGCTGAACGAATTGTTATGAAGAAAGGCTTAAATTAATACAAGAAATCTGTCATGTCCACATAAACTGGCTATGGCTGACAGAAGAACACAAATCTATGAGAAGTCTGTGTAGCTGCTAGCCAATGGGTCTCATAGGCATAGCCCTGTGAGAGGCACAAAAATAGCTTTTAGACACAGGCTAACTTGATGGTGTCAATGGGTCAAACTCAGGATGTCCCAGGCTGTTGGTTGGTCTCATTCTCTAAATCACTTTCAAGGTCTCCTCTTCCTCAATGCCATACTTGGTTTTATGCTCATCAAACAGTGCCACCAATGATTCAATGTATTCAGCGTGTACTTTGTCAATCTCTTCCTGTGTTGGGTTGGGATTCTTGTCCAAGGGAATCGGCTTACCCACTGAAATTGAAATACAAGTTAAACAAACAAGAACAAATTAATTCAAGTCCCTTCCGATATAAACAGGGTGCTCCTGTATAAACTGGAAGGACAGCAACGAACCCACTTTTTGACACAATGAGCTGTCATAATGTTCAAGAAAAGAACTTTTTTTTCAGCAAATACTTTTTTCAAATAATTTCAAATCTCAAAGGAAAAATAACCATACAGAAATACAGATTTTGTAATTAAATTTATAACATTTTCAGCCTCTACTGGTCACATATGGGCATGCAGAGCCACAAAAAAAGGCCAAACATCCACCTTGGTAATCTCAGCTTTTGAGCTGAGTCAGATAAGGCCCATTGTGTGGTACTCCACGTTTCAAAAAGATCCAAAGATCAGGGCCTCCTTGGGGGTGGGTGTTTGGATACTGTTGGCAATTCCAAAGTGACTAGTGGGTGGGTGTTTGGATACTGTTGGCAATTCCAAAGTGATTATTAATGGCTAGTGTGTAAATGTTAAACAGACAAAGAACAGGGAATCACGGCAGTATATCATGGACACAGAGAAACTGAGAGATCGAAAAAATACTCGAGAAAAAGGTCAAAAGAAAATATACTGAAGACAAAGACAGCCATGCAGACAGAATGGAGTAATATGTACATATACAGGTACAAGTAGGTGATTGGGTCAATAGATAGGCAGCTGATTTTTTATTGGACAAAGCCAGAAAGCATAACTAGCAAATGAGTTCACTGTAAAACCAAAAGATGTCCACTCCAGCAGACCTCAAGCAATGAAGTATGTCAGTTAGATAAGACCAGTCAATGACGAGCCTGCTTAGCACAAATTACATACCTACGGTATATATAGGTTTCCGGTAAGGCAACAGACCCATGGTGTAGTTGAAGATCCCTCGACCGTGGAAGACTGGGGGCGCAACTCCAAGAGCTTTGGTCAGAAAAGTCTGTAGTTTTCTCAGAAATGAACCTTCCGGGTTGGGAACCTGCTCGTAGACATCTGTTTCCCCAAAGGAGTACACTGGCACCAGGCTAGCCCTTGACATAAAAACGATTTGCCACAGTTAGCACCTGTCACACACTATTCTCATAATTGACTCCGTGATTTAACTTCATAGTTGTTCAAGTCCACTGCAAATAATGCAAACTAAATTAAAACAGAAGTTACCCATGTATAAGGGCCTTGCGAACAAAGCCTTTCCTCTTGTTCAGGTAAACCAAATGTCTATGAGGTTGAGCTTCCAAAGACTCAGTGGCTCCGCCCACTACAATGACGACAGCATTACCAGGGCCAGATTGCCCTAGCAACCAATCAAGACTCTCCCTGCTTACATCACATCCTCCTATAATATGAGTAAAAAGAAATGAAATTGTATGTCAATTGTCTTCCAAACAGTTAAAGATCTTTACTTTAATGAAACCCTGTAAACCAGGAAATCAATTCAAATACTCTGAACTAAAATGATACCTTCCTAATGTCTATTTCTACTTGAGAAAAGAATTCTTCCTTTCTCACTCAGAACAAGTTGAACAGAAAGAACATCTTACATGTATTTCCTTTACCAATAAACAAATTAAACTTGAATGCTTCACATTTTCAATCAATATTCTTACCTCCCATCATGATGTAATCCCTTGCCAAGGGTAACCTAAACCATCCACTCAAGGTCAACAAAAATGGCTTAATCCCCGGAAACTTCTTGGCAAACCCATTAGCCTCTGTGCCAAAGTTGACAAACGCTCCCATGCTCATGATGCCGTGAGGATGGAAGCCAAGCAGGTGGTTCTTTCCAGGATCCAGATCTGCTGTCTTGATCAGATGAATTGGGAAGAAATTCCTCATATGAACCCACACCCTCCAGTGACGGATCCATTCATATCGGCGCCCCCCTCTACGAGGCGTCTTGCGATCATAGTATACCCAGAGATATGCAAGAATAACCACAGGGTAGTACTTAGTGAAGAGGAGATAAATGGACGTCACGATGACAACAACTCCGAAGAGAAGGAATGTCAGTTCCCACTGCAAGACAGCCAGAGTTTCTAGCCGTCTGTGAAACGGGATGCGGAGGGGTGCAAGTTCCACCCCCATCACCTTCACATGGCTCTCTGGTGTCTCCTCACTGCTCAAGAAAGAGCAAAGTATCTATGAAAAGCTGAAGGATTTGTTTACTGGCAATAATTCTGACAGGGATATTCCTCAGACATCCTTCATTTTCCACTTGAAAAAGTCCAGAACAATCCTGAACTAGGCCTACATTTATAAGAAAAAACTATAACACAGCCTAGGCTCTAATTAAACAGAACACACAAATACCGACAGTGCCAGACAACATATGATAAACATGCTTCCTCGTAACTAAATATACGGCATGTAAAATTGACAATAATTCCAAAATAGAGATATCTGTTACAATTAGAATAGAAATTATAGAAACTACATGTAGGCCTTGATGATAGAAGTAGAAAGTAGGCCCTATTTCAATTTCACGATTAAATGTTAACTTTGCACCCTATCATGGCCATATAAATGTTTGTATCAAATAATAAAATGTAAATAAGAATTTGTTAAATTAAAATGCATGGATCTGGAGAAGGCTTACAGCGAAATCTATGGCATTATGGCCTGAGCCTACCTTTTCATTTTGTTCTACGCAGACGTGCGCTCCACTCCTTTATAATCATACATTGTCCATCTACGGCCTATCGAAAAAAAAAATACGGTACGCGCATTTCAGTTACCAAGCTGAACATGGCTGAAACATTATTCATACACTTGAATGTTGCTAAAAATGCCAGACAGTGCACTGAAATGACAGATAACTACATGTAAATATGACCTAGACCTCGTACGTGATTCATCCACGCCTTACATGCAGCAAAATCCTGTCTCACGCCCTGCGAATGCGCTGCATGCAGAGCGAATCCGCCTGTACTTTGCCTACATGTACTTCCGCTGTCCGGTCCGGCCCGGCCCGGGAGTCGACTAGACTCGACCCTAACTTTAGTTCAAAGTGCTTTTAGTGCGCCCTCTCTTGAAAAAAAGTTACAAGTGAACGGGATTTGAACCGAATCAAAATTTCAACATGGACTTTTTATTTGCATCAAAATTTGTGGATTCTACGAATTCCCATTTCGGAAATCAAGAAACTGGCCAGAAAAAGCTTCTTTGAATTCGAAACTTGGTCCAGAAGTTTGGAATAAATTATCTGTACGTTCAAGGGGTGAATCGGTGAACTGGAGAGTACAATGTACTGTTTGAAACGTGGTTGATATCATAGAAGGCCTCACAAAAGTACTGGCGGTTAAAGGGTTTCTTCTGCTTCTGCTCCATACTACACAAACACCCTTGAAGGGTTATAAACGCAGGTTTCACAAATATTATCAATAGTATGAAATGTATCAAAAGATCAAAAACGATCCCTGATCACAATAATATAAAAGTGACAAGACAACTGCACCGCGAATTAAATTTCGATTTTTATTTACAATGAAATTTATTTATATATTTTTCAGTTTTATTTATTTATTTTTTTTGAAAACGTCAGATCAAAAAAAAATTCTCATTTGTATTGATATAACTCACAAGCATCTTGGAATCATTTGCTGATGGAATCCCATCCTCTACTCTTAGAAAACGTCGTTTCCTTTGCACCTCCACACAACATCATGAGATGTTTCAAAATCCTGAATGCGACTAACACTGGGTGGCTGAGTCCTATGTGCACCATATGGCATCATTTGGGTCACCATGGTAACTAAAAATCACAAGGTATAGCTCTGAACAGATTGCCATTTAAATTTTAAGCTCTTCACAAATGTAGTTGAGGCAAATGAAAATCTGTAAATGTCGGGAAACAATTCATCAGCTACCTTGGACGGAGAACACAGGAATAAATAGCAAATCAAGTGACTTTTATTGAATTTATTTGGAATTAAATTTCATTCAAACAGCTTTGGGCAAGAATTGGTTAGTGGGTTTCATTTAATTCTTCATTTCAGCCAAGCATAAAGGCACTTGTCCTATACTGTAATTTGATTGGCTTTAACAAGCAGCGACGCATATACATGTATTAGCAAAAAATGTAACTTGGAGAACAAGTTTTATTTTAGTTGCTTGCAATACCATACAGCCATTACATGTATATGGAAACTAATGATCTAAAAACTAAACGAATAGACCCTGTCTTACATAACAACTTTTAACATAAATAAATATTTACATAAACAGGAATAAATTAATTGAAGTTTACATTAAAGTGTCATCCCAGTAATTATTCAAATGGACAAATCTTTTGGATGGCTTGAAGAAATTTGGAGGGAATATTCAACATTTTAACACACAGGAGTCCTAATGTACAACTTTTTTCAAATCTGAAGAATCAAATCAAACAATTCAAAGTATTTCAAATAACAGACCGCTTCGATTATCCAATAATTAAGCAAAGCACACACTTGTCCAGTTTCAACTCAGGCAGAAACATCAACTTCTAATAAGGCAGTACTGTCCAAATTCATTAAGCTTCTGAGCATATTTTTTTCATGGAATAAATGTTCAGAAATTACACAAAGTGCAGTTTAGAACAAATTGTTCATAGAATTTTTTTCAAGGAGTTGTAAAGGCAGGGAGAAAATTTCCACAAGAATCCATGTTGCAATCAGTAAATGCCACTAGCAACAAATTATTGCTGCGCTAAGGATAGAGACCTGATATGAGCTCAGATTAAAGCACCTTTCAAAAAACTTCCCTCTTTGATTTGGCGATTGGCATTTACAACACAAGTACCAATCACAATGAAAGATTATCAAGTAAAAAAAAGGGGCAAGAACTAAACACCTGCAAAGTGCATAAATATAAATAGCACGGAAACGTTTGTGGCTGCAAATTGATGGTTAAAATAGCACTGGAAAATATCACCCATAACTGGTTCCAAGCCGACTTCTGAGCAGAAATTTTGAAAAGAATTTTCTACTGCAAAGAAATCTCCATAAGGAAGGAACAGGGGGTATGGGGATGTTTTCATTGATGCCTGCGGGATATCCTAGAGTTTTATTAACCACCAAGTTAGTAAGTTAGGTGACTCTTACAACTCATTCCACTGGCTGTCTGTCTCAACCGGGGATCTCTATATTACTCAAGGTGCTATATAAGCAATGTTCTATACAATCTCACTCAGCAATAAATTGTACAACTGAACACAATTTAGAGGCAATATGAACAGCTTTTTGAAAATATTGGATTGAATACTTAAATGTCATAAAATCTGGCCCGAATTCTTATTGTTTGGTTATGAAACATGTTTGGACGGAGTGAATCAATACAAAGTCCTGCTGTTGAATTGTTAGTGAGAGGTAACTGGTTGATTAGCTGTGTCAAAGGTCACTGAGATCCAAATCATCATCGTCGTCAAAGTCTGTGACAGAGACGAGAGAGCTCTTGGCTGTTCCCGATTCACCTTGACCTTCAACAATCAAAAAGAAATGATTAAAATGAAAATTCAGATTATGGACTAAAAGACTAAAAGACAGACAGACAGACAAACAGACACACAGAGAAACAGACAATGAAGTGTTTAACCTGATGGACTACAATTTTAGTTTACCACAAAAATCAAAACCACCCGGATAAGCAGAAGATACATTAACATCACAAGGAGATATAAGAAAGCAAGAATTTGATGAGGTCAAGATCTGACTAACTTATTAAGACAGAATGATAAAAAGAAACTGCCCTACCTTTGGATGATCCCCACATACTGGTGCCATAGGTATTTGACATATCTGTGTCTGACTTTCTACTACCTGTAGTAGGAGGTCTAGAACCTTGCCTTGGACTGCATTGTGATAAGGGCAGAAATAGAGCACCATGTGATGGCATTAAAAGAGCATTTCATGATGCAGGTTTAGAGACCAGGAGCTCTGAACTGCGTAATAAACACAGATATTTGCTTTTTACGGGATCAGGTATTTAATGAGATAAGCTACCAAACTGTGACAGACACTTACGCTGGTACTGGCACTGGGGGTCCTCTTGTACGAGGCACAGAGTAGTTACTCCCATCCAGAGAAGAGACGGCAAAACTATCATCATCATCATCATCTTCTTCATCACTTGCATCAGGTAATGTCTTTAAAAAAGAAAAAGATAGCAGAAAGTTCCACATTTCAATCATACATTCCATGAGGATTCGCGAAGTAATGATTCCAAGATTCCTCAATTTCTCATCTTTGCAAGAAAAATGTCAGTTTCAAGGAAATGCAGACATTTTGTTTTGATTTTTTCTAAATACTATTCATTCAACTCACTGGTATCCGTGGCGATGGTGACCGTCCTTCATCCCGTGAGTCTGGTCGGAGATTACTTGACTGACTTTTGACTCCAAGGTCAACTCCTCCCACTGGTTTATGGTCGGAGCGACGCTGTGACAGCAACTGCTCAATTTTCTGAGCCTTTTGAGCAATTGCTGGGCTCTGTAATTGAAAAAAAGGCACATTGATCATGATTGCCATTGAAGACAAGGAAAGTCATGCATAACACAAGCCAACTATGCCAAGTTATCCATCAAATAAAACTCTGCTCACATGAATGTTCATCAGTAGACAGGTACCTGGAAGAAATATTTGCATGGATTATGCAAGGCGAAAGGTGGGAAGACAGCACTAGATGTTGGAACAAGTTCTCTTTAAAATATTTTCAAAGGATGTCAAAAAGAAATGCAACCCCCCCCCCAAAAAAACCCCTTATAACTTGTCTGGACTACTCTCATTCTACCTGCTGCTGTTTCTGTTAATGCTTGTGTAGAATGAGGCTGACCTTTGGTCTTCCAGCTGGCATTGGTCTTGAACTCCTTCCCTGCTGCTGTTGTCGTTGCTGCTGTTGCCGATGCTGTTCATGACCTCCTTTTCCTCTCTCATTCTGGCTCATCTCCTCAAGCTCACTGACATCCTCAGAGTCCCAATCACTGTCATCATCCATTCCCTCAGCTGTGCCTCTCGCAGCTGGTTGAGGAGGAATTACAGAAGAAGCTGGTATCGATGCAGCCGGTCGTCGATTAATGTTGGTGTCTGGACTGTCCTCATCCAGCGACAACTCACTTTCATCTTCTTCATCATCTAAAGAGTCATCTTCATCCTCATCAACATCAGACTCAAAATCACCATCATCAGTGACATCAAAGGACCTACATGCAATTAACAAAATCATCTTCTTTTCAGAAAAAAAATGGGATATCCGGTAACTTATCTTGATAGACCACATTTTTCTTTGAAACAGAAGTGGCACTGATAATGCTACAAACATTACAAACATAAATCCATTTTGAATAAATCAAATTTAAAAAAAAAAAAGTAATGAAACCCCTGTAACTCACACTCTTGCTGGTGATCCTGGTGGCTTAGAGCCTGACTTCAGAGATGATGACTTAGGCATCTCTGAATTCCTTGGAGCAACAGGTGGAGGCACCTGTCTTCCTGGTTCTTTAATTGATAGCTGGGTGTGGCCAACACCTGATAGCTTGACACCAGATGATGATGGCATGGAGCTCTTAGCTTGAGACTGAGTTCTAGATGCTGAGTGTTTGTCTTTAGAGACATTAGCACTTGATCTCGGCTTGGGTGAAGCTATGAACAAAACCAGATAAAGTACTTTTTGGATCAGTCATTCAGTAGTTGAGATCAACCATTCCTCACCTTGAGAATTAAAAATAAACGGTATCTGCTCTAGAAAGCAGGAGATTATAGGTTCAAGACTTTCGAGTCTAGGCCAAGTGAGCAGCCAAGCTGTCAAAGAAGATCTCTGCCAGGACTGAGCAGACAGTGTTTACAACAGTGTAATGATGGAGGATGAAACAAAACACTACAAAGCAAAAACAAAGAACAATCATTGTCAAGTTCAAAGGCATTGACTATATTCAAGATACCTCCAACATGGAATTAAAAGGCATAGAGTAAAAGTCATCTCTGGCTGAAAAGTGCATATTACGGGGAACAATTTGTCTTCCTACTTGACTTGGGACGTGCACTTGACGTCATCTTCCTGACTCCTCGCTGTCTCTCAGCCAACATCCTCTCCAGATCTTCCTTCAAGCTCTTCCTGATTTCACGGAAATGAGGATGACTTCTAGCAAGAGCCTGACGCTGTTCCTTGAGTCGTCTCATCTTGTTGTCCAGGGAATTAGAGGTGATACCATTCACACCCTGGAAAAAGGCAAAAGCATGTTAGTCCCACATTACCATGGCAACATCATTATTACTACTTAACTAGTAATATACAGAGCTGAAAAAGCACTTTCAAAACTATTTAAGGAAAATGGTCAAAATAAAAGTTATGCTTCAGGAAGGAAATTAATGCTCATAACCAATGCGGAGGAACTGACTCTGATTACTATAGCCTAGAATGAACACTTAACGGCAGTCAAATTCCAGTATACCTAGATAGATAGATGTACTAACAATACAAACCAACTGTTACTCAAACACTGTAAATGAGCTATTTTTCAATGTTGATGATTTACATTTATTCGCCATCAATTTGTCCACATTTATTGTCAAATTTATAAACCCCACAAAATGCAGGATGGGAACAAAGCACATGAAGCATATGTCACAGATTACAGTTACACCTGTTTATACCACATTAGATAAAGTAGGCAAAGTGTTTGCAACCAATTGAACCTGGTACAGTGGAGATATGTTAAATTATCTGGGCTTAAAGATTGCGAAGTAAACATGTATACAAACAGGTTAATTATGTACAAAATGGAGAGAAAGGGTGTTTAGCAATGTAGCAACAAGCATTCCAAAATTTCCCAGTTCTAATAAACGATTTTTTTTCACGTGAACTGTTGATGATTCTGTGGCTGTCTGGAGTCATCTTTCTTTGATCCGTCCCTCACAAGGCTCTAACTATTTCTACTCTTTGCATCAGACAAATTTCTTCCCAGTCATTTTAGGTACATGTACAGCACTGTTACTAGTGTTCCAGACAGGTAAGAATGCATTTGCAGTTTTTGGGGGTGGCTTAATGGACAGCTGATTTTTTAACACCAACCCTAACAGTCCTCAAATATCCAAATTTCAATATGAGGGTAAGAAATAAGTGAACGTTTGTACATTCCCCTCATTATAAGCAACGGGAAAGGTTACTGGGCCATTTGCACTGGTGTGATGTTTGTTCCATTTTTTATCAAGTGAGAAATAAATAATCAATTTTTTTCTATTAATAAAATTACAAACTGAAATGAATTTGTCACAGTACTACTGTGAAGTTACTATAGCCACTCAAGTTGGTCCGAAAGAGTTTGGTGGTGCAGCTGACATAGCAGTTACTGACCATCCTGGTGACCTCTGACCACCCTGGTGACCTCTGACTATCCTGGTGATCTCACTGTAGCAGACATGCATCACAATCGAGTGTCCATAAGGAGCAGTGAAGGACTTTGCGTCAAGGAGCTGTTAATTTTAGTTACAGGTTTTGCCCTTACACCAACGTATAACACTGTATACTCAGTGTCTTTCTGCAAGCCGTCAGACAATCACTGAGTATACAGTATTATAAATATACCTCAGTGTAAGGGCTCAGCCCATAATTACAATTAATACACATATAGTTGTTGAAAGGCTGATGAGTAGACTAACCTCAGGTACACCTTGCTTCTCAAGATTCCTCTTCAACAAGGACACCAAGTCTTGTTTCAATGTTAGCCTCTCATCACCTGTTTATTAAATGTTAAAAAGAAAGTTTTTAGTGCACAATTGACTTCAGATTACCATCTTTTCCAAATACAAATTACTTTCCATAAGCGTGGGGTTTTCCCAAAATTAACCAAAGTGACAAGTGACATATCATTTTGAAAAAAAAATCAAATGTCGTCTAAATTCTGGGACAAAATAGCAGACATAAGATCTGCAACAATACAAAGAAGGCATTTCACACAATAAATTTTTCAAGTCTCGAATAAAAGTTCTTTTGAACTTGGGAAAAAAAGCTGAACATAAAATAAACTAATCAGAACATCATTTGGAAAAATACTTTTTGAGAGGCTGAAGGTAGAAAACACTCCATGAAACATGTAATTAGCAGCTTTGTCCAACAAAAATGTATATTTGCTTTGGAAAACCTAGGCTGGATTAGTTAACTGCCAAGTCCAATTGTATTCTGTTCAAATGTCTTCACTGACAGTATAATAGACACAATCTCTACATCACTACTGTACATATTGCTTTCCTAACAAGATCCTTCTGTTACAGCTTGGCACAAGGGTGTCGCAAGAGGGTCAGGGCAAGGGGGCATGAAAAGTTAGAAAAAAGGGACAAAATGTGAAAAAAAAGAAAATGAAATGACGGGGGATTGAAATGACTGATTTGCTTGTAAAAATGTCAAAATTGGCCCTCTTCCAATTTAATGATGTTGATGAGTGTGATGCCCATGGTTTGGCGTCGTCTTCTAAATCATGAGAGTTGAGTTACCCAAAAGTACTCACAGAAATAAACATGTAGTACACAGAAAGAGTAGAAAGGGACTTTGTTTCGAACCTAAGGTTCTGATTTGACCTCTGACTTTATGACTGAAACGGATCCCTTGCAATTGGTATTCAGTATAATGGGAAGGAACCATTAAAAAACATAAATTGCAATCCAATCCAAATTCAATTTTGAACACGCCAAGTGAAAATGAAAAGTTAGCAATTAGTCACACACACAAATAAGTCAGACTTACTGCAGCTCAGAAAGAGAGACATTAATATACTGCAACCCAGAGGTCAAAGGTCATAAATACTGTACCTAAGAGATCATTATCGTTATCATTGTCTGTAATAGTAATCTCTCCATCTGAGAACTGGTCTTCAGTGTCTGAGGAAGCTGTTATAAAAATGGTTAGCAGAAGTGATGTATTGTTCATGAGAATATGAACCAAAAAATGTGTAAATGAGAATATGAACCAAAAAATGTGTCATGTGACAAATTAGAAATAAAGTATAAGCTATTATGAATTATTTACTAGGCAGCTTGTTAAATCCAACAAAATCCAACAATGAGAAATTTGTAAAGCCCCACAAAATATAACAACATCCACCTGGGAAAAACTTTCTTGAAGAAGCTAAGATCAACAGTATCCTAAAGAAACTGCCTTTTGTTGGTTATTGTTCAATTAAGAATCAGAAGTAACAAATAATTGTTGGTAATCAATCAGGTGAGAACAACCCAGTTGCTAGAAATAAAAGAAAGTTAAATACCACAAATTGAATTTGGTTTCCATGTCTTGCATAACTTTTGTTGTCAATGTACCAGAGTGATTTGAAATGTACATTGTAACTGATCTCAAGCAAGTACTGAATGAGCTGTGTATCACTTAAAGCAGTGATAGCTGCTCATGACATGGATGCGCTGGAATGCAAGAAGCAGAAATGAAAATAGGCTGGTCACAAATCTAACTCAATGCTGAGTGAATTTAATTGACGAAGCTGACAGCTGATGTAGCATATGTACATGAATATTCCTGTCGTACCTAGCTCCTGGGAAGATTTCATGGAAATATCACCTTCCTCCTCGTTTGACTGAATACCGTCATCTGAAGAAGAAACTCATTTTAATTAAATATTTTCACCAAAATATGCCATTGGGGAAAAAACTAATTCAAAAATTCATACTTTTCAGACAAGCAATGCTGTAAATGATTATGCCGCATTCAAATAAATGCAAATGCATTGCACAAAAACCCAATTGCAAGGTATAAGGAAAATGCCACTAGCTGACTACTTCTCCAGGAGATTATCACCATGGTTACCTGATTCCTCCTCTTCCTCTGAGCTTAGTGATTGAGCCAAGATGGGTGCAGCTTTCTTAGCAGGAGGAGACGGGGGAGGTTTAGCAGGAGATTTCTGTTGAGAGGAAGACAATGAAGATAAATAATCCAAGACTCCAACAGTATTGTATCAGACACATCAGGTAAGGGGTGCATCGGGGTGTTGACATGGGGTTTATGGGATGGAAGACCCCTTGGCTGGATGAAAAAGAAGCCAGCTACTTAAGATGATGCATTTGGAGGCGTACCATGGATTCTGTCCTTCGACCTTCATCCTTGTGACCCAGGTTTGTGTCTTGCACAGGTTCTAGACTAGTTTGATTAGTTACCACTAGACAACCAATGATCAATTTTGCCTGGTCACCAAAATATATCTTGTGCATAAGTTACCTTGCAAAATGACCAGCAGATAAGGGCACCCTTTTTATATTCTACGGTTCTCATTTCTGACTGACCCTATTTTGGGCTTCCGATCATGAAAAAAAACCAAACTTTTTTTCCCCGCCAATCCTGCTAAAAAGGCCTAAACCCCGAAAAACTGAAGGGAAAAAAAATTGGCCAGCATGGCCTTTGAAAACAAAAGCCCTGAAAACGTACGATTTTGCAAACGACCAACGGTGACGGTCGGCGTTCACATGAACATTCGGTATACCGCACCTTTCTGTGGCCCACTGAGGTTCGTGCATAGCCCTACACAAGCAACAAGGAATTTTTTTTTTCAACCGACCGACCTTATCTCAAGTGGTAAAAGAAATGAGAACCATAGAATTTAATAAGGGCGCCTTTATGATAGCCCACTGATGGTACTTGGCGCAGTGACAATATATGCCTTCCACTCATGACATAGTTCAGGCTAGTTCATTCAAACTCACGAGCAAAGTTAGTTTAGAGTTTCTTATCATGCCTGGCAAACAAAATAATAACAGAGTATTCAGGGATGCATACCACTCCTAAAGAGCACAAACATTCTAAATAAAATAAACGTCAAACAAATGCTTCAGTTCAGCAGTGCTTGCACGTAAGAAATGTACTATTGGTGAATCAAAGTGGGAAATAGATATCTGATAGAGTTGAATAACAGGTGACCGTGAATGTCTTCCTGTTGATAATTTGATGAGGAAAATACATTGAGAAGTATGAAATGTGCAGGTTAATTTACCCATTGACATGAATACCATAATTAAAACCATTAACAGCAACAGGTAAATGATGGATACATCTCAACCTCTGAGCAATTTTCTACAACAGAAACTTGAAAAGTAATTTCAAACAATGACAGAAAAGCAGACTTTGGAATCTATTCAATACTGAAAAGTTGTTCAGTGTTAACAATCTTGAGCTTTCTAATTCTGTTTAATGAAAAAAAAAGCATCACCTACGGTCCAGTAAGTATGTTTTTAACATCAGTGTAGGAATGTCAGCTACTAATAGTTTTTCAACCAATTACCTCTTAGTACTTCCAAATCAATTCCATTCTTCATGCCTTGGATGACACACAATTTGTTACAATCTTATCCCTATGCACCCCCTAATTTAAGTTTCAGGATTGCCAACCACAATATGCATGAAGCTGGTATGGATTCCTGTAGTCTATAGGCTTGCAACTTAGACTTGAAAAAAAGAGGACATTCCAATCTTTACAAGACTTTGTTCAGTGTTTTTCAATTTTCAATGGCATGAGTGTGAAGTGAAAAAAAAGGAAATCAGCAGATCCAAGGAAAAGTTACATGCCTGTGTAGGGTGTAGAATTTGGATCGATTTGAGCAGGGTTCCTAAAAAAAGTTCCATAGGATTAAGGTTAAAGATCAAGCAGTGACAAAATACAAATGAGGGTGAGAAATTCGGCAGCAATGGATGAAAAAAACTGGATGCTGATGGAAATCAGTAGAGGGCGCCAAACCTGAGCATATATCAAATCAAGCCTCTTGGCCTGTAGTACTTGCTGACCAGTATTGACTGGTGTGTTGCTGACCACTGCTGGCTTGACCTCTGGTATAATGGATACTGGAGGCTATATAGCATTAAATTGGAAAAGTTATTTGCAAAGATGCTTTGTCAAATACTAGGGAAATCGATTTTGAATTATTTCAGTGCCGAAGCCTTTTGTCTGCCCAAAAATGAATATCTGAAGCTGATTAAAATATTTTCAAACACTTAAATGTGATCTTTATGATAAAATCCTACTTGGACTTGAAAAGCTTCAAAAAAGGGCACACAATGGGGCAAATATAAACTTACAGGTCGCGCTTTCAGAGACTTAATCTCCTCTTCCTTGCTTCTTAATACCTTCTTCTGTTCTTTAGATTCCTGAAAAAAAAAACAAGCAGATTTGGGATTATCTTTAAGCCAATGGTTTTCATGAACAATTCCTAATAATGGCACATCTGAAAACTTAAGGCTCTTCTTCTTTTATTTTGAACATTTCTTTCTGGGCAGGTGTGAACAAAGAGATCAATATTCTCATACCGGGGATCAGTTTGTGTTTCCAGGCTGTTTTCGCCTTCCAACTCTGTGAATCTGGTTCGACTCTCATCCAAGCCAACATTTCAATTGGGTTGTTAGATTCCAATATCTTTCTATAGGCTCCCCAGTACACTGGTCTATGGTTCTCCTTCCACCTCTTTCATTATTTTGTTATCACACCCTCATCAGCTTTATTTCAGCTGGTGAACAACAGTTCCAGGATTGAATGATTTCATTCATACAAGATCATGTTAATTTGACTAAGCTATCCAGTCTGATATCAACAGGGTGCAAGTTTTAAGACAGTCCAGAGATTATAATTCCTCCTGAGGACACCAGTTTGCATCCTTCTACCTGCAGTAACTGCTGGATTTGCTTCTCATACTTCTTGCCAATATTACTCCCCCCTTCTCTCTCAATCCTGAGAGCAGCTTCTGCCTGGTCCAACTGGTTCTTCAGTTCCTGCATGTCATCCTTGTGGTCTCTCTTCATCTGTTTGGTTTGATCCTTGAACATCTTGGCTTGCTCTCGCATGGAAGACTGGGTGGAAACCAGCTGAGATGAAAGAGAAAAATCAAGCTTTCTAACAATCAGCGTAAACTACATCAATCAATATACTGTCTAAAACTTAACACCACAAGTTCAATCACAGCATACAGCAACCATGCAGGATGGAGTTACAGCTTTCCACAGGCATACAATTGGGAAGTCAGTGGTAAAAAACAGAAATTGGAAGTTGTGCAAGACTCTGTACAGTGCTTTCAACTTGTAAACAAGTCACAAATGAGGAAACCAGCCGATTCATTCCTGGTTTTAGTAACTAGTGCTGTGCAGGAATTGATAGTAAAAATCTGATGTCTGTAGTAGTCTCAAGAACATTTCAAAGACTCACTTTATTTTGAAGGTCCAAATCCCTTTGCTCATTCTCTTTCTTAAGTTTCTTAACTTGTTCCCTGAGATCAGCAAGTTCATCCTCATCTTGTAAGGTCCCTAACATGGACTTTTTACCTGAATAAAGGAAAAACCACAAATTAAAAATGAAATAAATGAGACCAAATTATAAAATTGACTGGGTAGGGGTGTGGTACATGTACAGTCAAACCTCGTTAATAAGAGGTCCTTCGGACTTGGCAAATTACCTTGTTATCACAGGAACCTTGTATTATTAGGAACATAAACAATGAAAAGCAAAGGACTGGGACCAAAACCTTTCCTCATTATTAGCAGAATCTTTCATCAACAGTGCTCTTTGTACTTATGAAAAGCCATACATCAACTAGTATCAAAGGTGGTGTAAGGTTATACGCTGTTGATTCAATATGCCCCTCTACATTAATTCTTGTGCAAATCTATTGCCAGGGTTCAGTTGTTTAGCTTACCATACTTGGACTGAAGGTCTTCAAGAGCAAGCTGAGAAGACGAATATTTCTCATTCATCTCCTTCAATTCTTTCATGAACATCTCCTGCATTCGTTCCATCTCACTCTGACAAACAGGACATCCCAAAGAATCAAGATGAACACGACTCTTTTAAGTTTCATTGTTCAAATGTAAGCCATGTGGTCCAATGCAGTAATGGGGGAATCACATCTTGAACTATTGTCATTTCTGAAGATAACTCTACAATCGACTAGGTCTAATTCATCTTACTCTTTGTGATTCTAGCTGTTCTCGTTTCCAAGATTCCATTTGTTGTCTCTGCAACTCCTCAAGTCTTTTGCTGTCTTCCCTGGAAAGGCTTTCCTAAAAGGAGGGACAAACACGACAGTAGACAAATAAATATAAACACTGAGTAAACAGAAACAGGCTGCCAATTTGATCTTGACAGAGGAAACTTTGCAGCGAAAAAAATGATCTGTGCCAATGAATCTCTCCAACCTCAATCCTCTAAACCTTGTCGTCCAACTTCCATCTCTTTCAGGTCTTACCCTCACCTTATAGGTTGTTATCTGCTGTTGCATCATCTTTCTTTCCTCTTCCATCTGACTCTCTGTCAGTCTCAACCTCTCCTTCAATCCTTCAATCTCCCTCTCCAAGCTTTCCTGCTGCCTCTTGGCTTCAGATTCTGCCAATGGAGGGACGTACTCGGGATGTTTGCGCTGAAGATGAGACTGAAGGTAAGCAGCATGGACGAAGGCTTTCACACAATAAGGGCACTGGAAAATGAAATATTCAAATGGCTGATACAACCATTGGCAAATTCTAGATTTCATGCAAGGGACATTTCTAGATATCTTCCAAAAGCCAACATAGTGAATAAAGCAGAATTATCCTTGTGTTCAGATAAAACTATGACACCAAACGAAATGCAAATTACATACACATGTACAAATTCTACCCTACTAAATTCACCAAAGTAACAAAAATCTAGATCTGGGAGGATCACGCGAATTTGTGGAAAGGGTAATGGGCTTGTTACCTTGTGATAATTATTGGCTCCAGCCTGTATGAGATTCTGTTGTTGCTTGAGCATTTTCTTGCGTTTGTGACATTCTTCTTTGATCTTCTTGACCTCTTGTCTGACCTTACTGACTTCTGTCCTCGTCACACTGTGAGCTTCCTCTGATTGCTGAAGCTTCTCCTGGGTCAAGCTGATACTATGAGTCAGGTAATTTTGGGAATGCTAAAATGGAAAAGGCAAATAATTGAAGAAAACATGTATCTCTAATGAATGACAAATTACAGGAAATATTCAGACCAAAACTGACTGGAACAGAAAAGGACACTTCAACTGGGATGTAAATTTCAGAAATGTCAGGAAACTCCAAAAGTATCAGAAAATTAATAAATAAAATCATGAATCAAGAATGAGTGATAACTCTTGGTGACCCCTGACCTACCAGTAAATACTCAGCAATGAGTTGTGAGAGTTGGAAGAGCTTGATAAAGTTTGCATCTATTGCCCTCATGTCAACCTCAGCCGTGATGTCACAGAAGGTAACAGTCATGATGACATCTTGTAAGGTTGCAAAGTCAAGTTCCTGCATCACTCGGTTAACGTCAACAGAAGCTGTTATGAAGGAACAAACTGTTGGTAAGTCTATGAATACAACATTCTTTCCTGTTCCAAAATATTAGAATGTGAACATGCAGACCTTTTTTCTGTGATAGTTCATTTGGTCAAAAATCGCTGAATATGTAAACTGACAAGTATTTCAGCCGCTTAGAATTAGGAAGACAATTACATGCATAATAAATCTTACACAAGAATCAAAATCTCTTCTTTAAATAACCAATTATCTTGCTTGCAGGGTCAGTTGTGTCACTCTGGAAAAATTACCAAGAAAGTACAAGAATTCCTCTTGGGAGACATTACAACTATTTCTCAATTTTGACGTTGCTTTTGTGGTGAGTTT